GGATAAATACAAAGAGACCATATCATAATCTGCTAAAAAATAAAAATAAGAAAAAATTTTTAAACAGATGAAGAAAAAAATACGTTAAATACAGGGAACAGTAGTACCAGTAACTTGACTTTGCATCACAAACAGTGGAATCCAGTTAACAATGGAACAATATTTTTTTAATGCTAAAAAAAGAGAATGCCTGCCTCCCCCCCAAAAAACCTGTCAACTCAGAATTCTGTATCTAGCTAAAATATTCTTTAAAAATGAGTATACAATAAAGACATTTTATTCATCACAAATAAACTTGCATCACAGGCAATGCTAAAGGAGGCTCTGTAGGTTGAAGTGATATAATACTAGATGGAAATTCTAGTATTATAGGAAGAAATTAAGTGCATTGAAAATGGTAACTATTTGGATAAAAAGAACTTTGTTTTTTCTTTAAATGTTTTCGAAAGACAACTGACCACTTAATGGGGAAAAAAAACCACATTGTACTGTGAAATTTATTGCATATGTACTAAGACACAGGAACATGAGCCTGCATAACGTGTTTGCAGAATTTTAACTGGCCCATTGTGACTACAGTAATGGGAGATGATATTGTGATGGAAGAGGATATAGTATTTTAATGATGGGACCAGATTATACTGGGTTATAAGAAGCTATACTAAGGCATTTAGATTTATAGGCAATAGGGGGCCACTGAAGGCTTTTAGACAATAGTGACATAAATTTTATGTTTTAAAAAAATACATTTAATAGTAATAAAGAATAATTATTAAAGTTGGGGAGAGATTAGAGACAGAATGAACAGTTTGAAAGGGATTGCAAGAATCCAGGGGTCGTGCATTATTTTTTTTAAATACTTATTCACTAGAATTTTGTGAATGTTTTTTATTTGTCTATTTCTTTCTCTTTTTCTTTAAAATTAACAATAGGAATCCAGAAACATTTTGGACCACCACAGGAATGTTTCCCCAAGAGTTCATTGTTTGTTTTCACAAACGTGTGAAGATTGAAAGGCTTGTAATCCGTAGTTACTATGGTAAGCAAATCATACATTAATTTTTATCATCTTTTAATTTTACCGTAGGCAGAGGGCACATACGTAAACTTTTGGCAAAAGATTAATTTTCTTTGCAGCATGGAATCCAGTTTTATTGCTGGGGTGGGAGAGTGGAGAGTATGGGTTAATTGCCTTGAGCACAGTTAGACTCTCTGAAACTGCAAATTTGAAACCATTCCAAAGCACATAATAATTTCCATGCAATTTGCTATGTGAAAGTCTTTGGCAAAAGACCCTGTTATGAACATAAGAAGCAGCTTGCCAGAATGCTAGATTCCTTGACATATTTATTACAGATTCATTTGGCTTAGGGCTCTCTGTCAAATTCTTTCTGAAAATCTGATAACCCTGATTATTTGTATTGGATAATTTTGATTCTTGTATTAATAATGGCATTTTCTGAGGGATTTAGGAGAAGAATCTCCCATTGGAACATCATTATAACCCTGTCTTATGTTTATTTAAGGATAAAGTATATCAGACAGAATCATGGCAGGAAACAGAATACATTCCAGATGGTTCAAATGAAGAGACTTTATTGATGGGACTACTTACAAAATTAGTTCTGGCTTAAGGGAATAAACCAGGGATGGTGAGACACCCAGAAACTGGCTACAGCAGGAAGCCATTACCACCCCAGGGCCAAGGGAAGAAAATAGTGTTACTGGATCCCAGTGAGAGCTGGAACCTGTAAATAAGGGCCTGCCTGGCAGGAGCTGTAATCATGAAGGGACACAACCAGTCAAAGACATGACTGAAGCAGGAAGGGAGTGGAGAAAAAACAACCTGACCTCACTTTCCCCCCGGCCTTCCAATTTCCTCCCAGTGCCTCCCATTGGCCAAATCTGACCAGTAGCCAGTGGGCAAGTGAGTCCAGGTGATGCATGCAGTCCACAGGTTCGTCCCCCTGGGTCACAGAACATAGAAGAGGAAGAATAGATCTGGGGCAACAGAAGCTGGGTTAGGGGTAATGGAGAAAAATCTGTGTAGAAGGAAGATGACTACCTTCCTGTTAAGTTTCTCAATTGTCATTAATTGTAGAGGCTTTGGAGTTAGATCAAAATTTTGAATTTCAGTTCTGGCACTTACTAACTCTATATCATTGAACATTTTGCCTGACTTCTCTAAATTGCCTGATTTCTCTGAATCTGTTTCCTCACCAGTAAAATAGGTTAATAATATGTTTCTCTTAAGATTGTAGTCAAGAGCGAATGAGTAAATATGCCTGACTCATAGTAGGTTCTCCATAAAGATTTATGATCACGACAATTTTTTAAAATTATGATGATGATGATGATGATGATGATTATTATTATTATTATTACTACTACTACCTGTATACAAAAACAGTTTGGATAATTCTAAATTCAAAAAGACTCCACTAGCTCTGTTGTATGCTTGCGAACATTTGGAAGGTCACAGTGATGCAAGACTGCATTTTACAATAGGGACTTATGGAAAAACAGAGTAAATGAGTTATTTTCAGAACATGGTGTTCCTCACCCCAGTTTTTTGTGCAGTCCCACTGATGCCTGAGAGTCTCAGACAGAGGAAAAAAGGAGTATGGTGACAGCAACATAGAATCAGGTAGATAAGTAATATTTATTTATTTTGTTTATTTACAATGTCAGTGCGGACCTTGAAGATTGAAAAAAGCACCTCTAAAGAGCCAGTTGATTTTGAGCAGTGGATTGAAAGAGGTATGTACTTGTTTCACCAGCATTTTTCTGAGCATGAGGGAGTAGAGAATTGTCCTTTGACTCTTTCCAGTCTGTCTGCATTTTAGTGAAAAAAAGATGATCTGAATGATTCCTGTGACATATTTAGAGCTTAGAAAAACCCAGGTTTGAACAAAAGACCGTTTCTTTACTTACTGGTTAACTGTTAGCATGTTACTTAATTTTTCTGAATCTTTGAATCCTTATCTGAAAAATGGAGATGATATCTACCATTTTAGGTTTCATATGGTGAACATATGTCTGGCATATGGCAGACAAACAATAAATATTAGTTTCTTGTCTCTCTTTTTTTCCTGATTAATGGTACTATTTAAATATCAGCAGAATTGGTAACTTCTAGTTAAACATATATTACCTTCATGTATCTATCTCCTTTCTTTCGCAAAATACCATGAAAATAATAGAAAAGGAATAAAAAGAAGCATAAACCTAAAGGACAAAAAATAAAAGACCGGGAGACCAAAGCAGATGTGAGAGATCAATATGTATTATGGAAGAGAGGACACAGATGGAGAAGTGACTTTTGAGGCTAAATGGAGTAGGTTATAACTTAAGTGCCTTCCAAGGAGAAAATCAATGAGAAGTATGCCAATTTGCCCAACAGATCCCCGGAAAGGTTTAGAACTTGAAGGCAAATGATACCATGGAAATTGTGAGACACGGCCAGAAAAAAAGTTGAATATCTATAGACAGAGTAGTTGGACCATAGGTACCTTCTCATACCTCAAAGCTAGGTGACCACGCCTTCTTCCACAAACCATACCCAAGGGATGACTAGGAATATTGAATGTTGAGGCTCAGAACTCAGGGAGACCAAGCATAGTAGAGAGAGTGAATGAAATACGGAGTTGGAAACGGATTTAGGTGGAAGCCTGCATATTGAATAGTGGGAACTCCTGTGCTCTGCTATTTATGATATCAACCAAAATAGGGCCCCGGCCAGGAGATGGGAGGATTTATCTTTGGAGAAACTAAATGGCTCCAGAAAAAAAGACCAATGGAAGCTGACAAAGGCTAGCTCATTCCTGATCACCCTATTGAAGTTCATTTGTCAATGAGCCTGACCCAAGCATGTAGTTTTCAAATGGCTTACTCATAAGCAATAAAAGACAGCCAGAGATCACTAGACATTTGATGAAGGCCTCAAACCCTGAATATAATCAAGCCTTTAGCTTTAATTTCCAAACTATAGGAAATATGGAGTCTAGAGGAACAAATTAAATGAAACCATGAGGAGGCAAGATGACAAAATATGGGATGCTCTACCGGACAACTGACTTGGTCCCTTCACAAGTCAATGGCATAGGAAAGAAATGTGTGTGTGGGAAGGAAAGCAGTTCAAGATTAAAAGAGAATTCTGATTTGAATAAATCAACTATGAAAAGATATCTGGGGGATAATGGGGAAATTTGAATATAGACTGGGTACTATATGATATTAAAGCATTATTTTTAATGGTAGTATGATAATGGTATTGTAGTTATGTAAGAAAATATGAATTCCTTATTATTTAGAGGTGGATAATCAAATTTTTTTTTAAAGATTTTTATTGGGAATTGGGGGGATGGGAACAGCGGTGGGGAATTGGGGGAAGGGGAACAGACAAGTTGCTGTCATTTTGTTCTTCATTCTAGTTGTGGAGGACGTTGCTTCACTGGCCCAAGTTGGCACCATCATTGCGCTCTTCCCGGGCGAGGCAGATCAGTCGCCGGCTTCTGGAGGGCCGCTCACTGCAGCTGCTGGCCGCTCATGCTGGCAGCTGGCTACATATGGTAGCCATGGCAACCCACTGCCACAGGGGCTGCAGCCTATGCCGTCGCTGGCGACTCACGGCAGCCCAGCTCCAGGTTGAGCTGTTATTCAGCATCTTAGCTGTGGAAGGCAGTGTCACATGTGGGATCCGAACTGGGGCCCTCTGGCGTCCCAAGCCAATTCTTAACCATCACGCCACTCGGTCGGCCCAAGGATAATCAAATATTTAGAGGTGAAATGTCATGATGTCTTAGATTTGCTTTAAAATACTTCAGCAAAAAAAATTAGATAAATCAAGTATGATAAAATGTTAGTAATTATAAAATCTAGATGATGGGCATATGTGGGAGTTATGTTCTGTCTTTTATATATGTTTGAAATTTCCAATTTTTCATAATTAAAAACTAGGCAAATGAAATAAGAGTTTATTATTAACTCCTGGTGGGCGAAGAGTTGAATAAGAAAATGTGATCATAATTTGTTACTTATTTCATCAGCAAATAACATTTATATAGACAATAATGTAACCATCAAGTATTGATTTCAGAGTTGAGAGGATGGTAGAAGGGAAAAGTTGCAGGAGGAGGAGGAAGCAGATATTAGTTTATGAGACCTAAATTTTCATATACCATAATATAAAGTCAGTAAAAAATTGGTTAATCAAGAAAAGGGGTATAAACATAGTATAATTCCAGGAAAAACACTTTGAAGAGTTGAAAACATTCATGTATCTCTAGGGAGCAGGACTAGAGGAGAAAGGAAAGGTCATGCAGGGGATTACTATTTTTCATTACCTCAGAGAAAGGTTAGGAAACAAAGTCATAAATAATTTTACTTCCCAGAGATTTCCTGTTTTCTACTATGTGCCTTTTGAAATTATGTACACTGGGCCAGCCGAGTGGCGCGTTGGTTAGGAGTTGGCTTGGGACGCCAAATCTGAGCAGCAGGGCCCCGGTTTGCATCCCACATGAGGGCCAGTGATGCTGTGCCCTCTACAGCTAAGATGGTGAACAATAGCTCGACCTGGAGCTGGGCTACCATGAGTTGCCGGCAATGGTGTAGGCTGCAGTGAGGCTGGCCGGCAGCGGGCGTGAGCTTTCGTGAGCCGCCATGAGCAGCCGTCCAGTGGGCGGCGAGTGACTGCCTCACCCAGGAAAAGCGCAATGATAATACCAACATGGGCCAGTGAAGCGACGTCCTCCACAACTAGACTGAAGGACAAACACAGCAATTTGTCTACCTATCTGTTCCCCTTCCCCGATTCCCCAACGCTGTTTCCCTCCCCCAATTCCCCAATAAAATCTTTCCCAAAAAAATTATGTACACTGTCTGTTTTAATACAAATAAAATTAATTTCTAAATAATGTTGATAGTTTTTATTATAGCAATTAAATATTCCATGTTTCCAAAAGAATGTTTGATATGATTAACTCATGACCAAATAAATTAATCTGTCCTAAAATTATATGAGTAAAGGTTTTCTAAAGTTTGATACCAGAAAAGAACAATGTATGGGCAGCATAATTCTGCATCACAGTAAAAATGAAACTGAGCTCTAGTCATTGCCCATGGGAACAATAAGATCGCTTTTTTTAGGCCTGCAATTGCTGTTAGTAGCTTGATCCTTAAAAGGGATTTTCACATGTTATCAATTCTTTATATTTAGTAAAATTTAAATTTGCGTTTCCTTATGTTTATACTCACTAGAGATATTTTATAGCTCATAAATATTTCATCTTTCATATCTTTTATATGAAATATTTCTATTTTTGTATTAAATTTTAGCCCCAAAACACTGAGAAATTTGGTGTAACTATAGTTTACCAGATACCATGTTGTTGAACATAAATTTCAGTAGCTATCCTCATGTATTTTTGAGCCCTAATTAATTTCTGTTGAATTTATGTTTTAGATCTAGTACACACAGAGGGGCAACTTCAAAATGAAGAGATTATGGTAAGTAAACATACTTTGTAGAGATAAACATTATCCTTAGCCAGCACAACATATTTAAATTTTAAACCTATATCCATAGTCACATACCCTCAGATAGTATAGGTTCTGTACTTAACCAAAAGCAAAGGTTATTCTTAATAATGTTATAATCTAAATATAACATTCATTTATTAAGCTTTTATCTAACAGACAGAATGACAGCAAGTATAAAACAGAATTCACTTATTTGTTTTTGTTTTAATTTTGTTCATTTATTTGGAAGTATTGACTCGCTTTGCTTTCTTTCATTTGATTCTGTAGGTCCTTTAGACTAGGAATAAAAAAAGATTGAGATGCCAAAATTGGATGTTAATTTAAGCATGAAAGGACAAGGGAGATTCAGATAAGAGGAACTGGAGCATAGGATCAGCAACAAATAAGCCAAAGAGAAATGAGGTGGAAAGAGAACAAGCATTTTTCGACAATGTTCCATTGGGCTTTGCTTGTCAAGTGGAATGAATGCCCGTTGATGAGGAAGCTTGCTGCCTCATCAGGAGTTTCTCTGTTCCTGCTAGTTTGTCAGGCTATGGTTTTAGACAAACACAAAAACATGAGAAAAGTAAATGTGTGTTTTTTTAGGTGCTAATGTTTGCTTAATTAAGGTTTCTCAAAATGAAGGTTAAAGTGGAACCTTGTCTATTAAGTTTTCTTTTTCACAACTTGCTGGGACCTGCTATGAAATCGGTGTTTCAAAAGAGTCTGTCAGAAGTTTTGAACCCTATTCATTCTCTTCTCTACCACCCAAATGTGCCCAATGAATGGGTAGGCCAGTGGGGGAGGTGCAGATGATGATTAATTAGACTGAATTTTATCTTCCTATTTTTCTTCATCTTTACCAACAGGTTATGATTAGTAAGTCCCTGCTGAGTATTTTGTTTCAGGACTCACTCTGAATCTATAATGCTCCCGGCATTACAGAACATTTGGAAAATAGTAAAGGGGCATGGGGAATCTTAAAATTACCCATACTTTTGTCACCCTCTCACAATAGCTTTTACTGTACCTACTTTCTGGTTGTTAACCATATGCATCACATATAGGTATAATAGTAATGTATGAACAATTTTGTATTCGTTTTAAAACTTAATATATATGAGCTTCATAATTATAATTTTAAGATTAAATGTATGCAAATAGGTAAATGCTAACTAATTTCCTTTTTCCTCCTCTGTCATTATAAGTAATACAAAGAACATCTTAGGCATGTTGCTACTACCACAATCTTCACCTTTTTAATTAATTTCTAAGATTAAGTTTCAAGGAATGGAATTACTGGGTCCAAAGGTATAAACATATTTGTAGCTTTTTTTATATATTACCAAGTTGCTTTCTAGAGAAATTATACAAATGTAAAAGTTTAGTACTGTTTCAGGGTAGTATATTCTGAGGCATCATTAACCAAAGCAAATCTCTTGTCATGAAAAATACTTTAGAAAGACACTTTGAAAAAATTGATCAGAAATGTACAGTTGCAAATTTTAACTCTACCTGCTATTTTCCGTCAAACCAAGGCTGACATTCAGCTGATACACACTAGAACAACTATACTATTATGTGTGGCTGGTATCTCTTTTGAATATTATCAAATATATTGTTTATATTTAGAATATTACTCTTCCATCAAACCCTTTCTTCTGCTAGCTGCTTGTTTTAACAGTTAATTAGAATTGCTAAGAGCACCCATATTGATTTTTTCCCTACAGGCACGTGATGGCCTTGCCACTTACTTGAGATTCATTATTACATCAGCCTTTGATCATTTTGCAGCTGTATATAGCATTTCTGCAGAGGGAATAGCAGCCTCAGATCTTTCTTAATAATTATAAAACAAAATGCTCTTGCATGATTTTTTAATATATTTATTTAAAAATGAAATTGTCATCGATATACTTTATTAAAGGGATTTATACCAACCTGTTTCAGTTTTTGTTTTTTTGTTTTTTTTCAATATTTTTATTGGGTAATTGGGGGGATGGGAACAGTGCTGGGGAATTGGGGGAAGGGGAACAGACAAGTTACTGTCGTTTTTGTTCTTCAATCTAGTTGTGGAGGACGCTGCTTCACTGGCCCAAGTTGGCACCATCATTGCACTCTTCCCTGGCGAGGCAGATCAGTCGCTGGCTTCTGGACGGCCGCTCACTGCGGCTGCTGGCCGCTCACGCTGGCTGCTGGCTACACACGGTAGCCCATGGCAACCCACTGCCACAGGGGCTGCAGCCCACGCCGTCGCCGGCAACCCACGGCAGCCCAGCTCCAGGTTGAGCTGTTGTTCAGCATCTTAGCTGTGGAGGGCAGTGTCACTGGCCCTCATATGTGGGATCCGAACCGGGGCCCTCTGGCATCCCAAACGAGTTCTTAACCATTGCGCCACTCGGCCGGCCCTGTTTCAGTTTTTGTTATTTTCTCTTCAACATTTTGTGCAAAGGAATTTGGTATCATCAGTCTATCGTGATGGCCACCATGAAGGATATAAGAAAGCTCTTGCTTCAATATCTGGCTTAATCAAGGAAGTTACTTACATGAAAACTTAACTGATAATACATTGTGTGTGCACAGCATCTAACATGGTGCTCTTTAGATATCAGTGCATTAATTTTTTAATTTATTGATTGATTAATACAAAGGGCTAAGTGAGCAGTATAGACAGTAAACAATGTATAAGTTCAGAAAAGAGAAAAGTATTTATGGGAAGGTTTCATTGAGGTTATGGAACTTGAGCTGGCCCTGTAGGACAAATCATTTTTTTTTTCCTTTATTTTGTCTTGATTTGAAAACCTCAGATAAGAGTTAGGAAACACGTAATCTTACTTTCCAGAGACAATCATTGATATGATTTGATTTTAAAAAATATTTTGGGGTTGTAAAAAACAGGATGGGACAGATTGGGGGAAGTAAGACTTCTCTGATATACTTTATTATATAGCTTGACTTTGTAAACATAAATAACTAATATAACCAAAAATTAAAACAGCATTTCCAAAATATTGACAACAAATAGAAATGCATGAACCTAACTTTATCACGAGTTGATAAAAACACAAGAAAGAAAACGACATTAGAACATAATATTTTGTCTGTATAGTATGTATTAGTTTCTTAGAGTTGCTATAATAAAGGACTACGAACTTGGTGGCTTAAACAATAGAAATTTACTCTCTCACAGTTCTGGAGGCTAAAAGTCGGAAATCAATGTATTGGCAGGCTTTGTACTTCCAGAGTCTCTGAGGGAGAATCTGTTCCATGCCTTTCTCTTAACTTCTGGTATTGCTAGAAGAATGTAAATCTTTGACATTCCTTGGTTTATGGCACCATAGATCCAGTCTCTGCCTTTGTCATCATATAGCATTCCTTCTGTGTGTCTTCACATCATCTTTTCTCTGTGCATATCTGTCTCTGTGTGTGTTTTCATCTTTTTATAAGGATACCAATCATATTGAATTAAGGGCCCCCCCTACTCCAGAGTGACTTCATATTAACTAATTGCATCTGCAATGACCCTATTTCCAAGAAAAGGTAAAATTCACAGGTACTGGGAGGTTAGGACTTGAACATAATCTTTTTGGAGATACAATTCGACCTACAACACAGTCTTACTGAAATATATTTGTGATAGTTTTTTTTTTTTAAGATTTTTATTGGGGAATTGGGGGGATGGGAACAGCGGTGGGGAATTGGGGGAAGGGGAACAGACAAGTTGCTGTCGTTTTGTTCTTCAGTCTAGTTGTGGAGGACGTTGCTTCACTGGCCCAAGTTGGCACCATCATTGCGCTCTTCCCGGGCGAGGCAGATCAGTCGCCGGCTTCTGGAGGGCCGCTCACTGCGGCTGCTGACCTCTCATGCTGGCTGCTGGCTACATACGGTAGCCCATGGCAACCAACTGCCACAGGGGCTGCAGCCTACGCCGTCATCGGCGACTCACAGCAGCCCAGCTCCAGGTTGAGCTGTTGTTCAGCATCTTAGCTGTGGAGGGCAGTGTCACTGGCCCTCATATGTGAGATCCGAACCGGAGCCTTCTGGCATCCCAAGCCAGTTCTTAACCATCATGCCACTCGGCCGGCCCTATTTGTGACAGTTAATTTTATATATCATATTGATTGGGTCATAGTGATCAGATATTTGCTGAAACATTATTCTGGATGTTTCTGTGCAGGTGTTTTTGGGTAAGAGTAACACTTAAATGGGAGGACTTTGAGTTAAGTAGATTGCCCTCTATAATGTGGATGGGCCTCATCCAACCAGTTGAAAACCTTAATGGAACAGAGACTGATCTCCCCTGGGCAAGAAGGAATTCTGCCACCAGATGCCTTTGGACTTGTGCTGCAACATTGGCTCTTCCCTGGGTCTCCAAGTCAGTGGCATGAAAAATGTTAATTAATTAAGGAAGGGGGTCTACTCTAGATTCAAAGAGATATAAGAGCCCCAATAACCACATGCCATGTGTGGATCCTATATGGATGCTGATTTGGGAAAACCAACTGAAAAGAGACTTTTTTCCTTTTATTTATTTAAAAACATTTTCTCAATTTCCATTGACAAACTGTTATATTAGTTTGAGGTATTCAACATAGTGATTAGACATTTATATAACTTATGAAGTGATAACCCCAATAAGACTAGTACCCATCTGACACCATATATAGTTATTGCAATATTATTGACTATATTTCCTATGCTGTACTTTACATCCTCGTGACTTTTTATAACTGACAGTTTGTACATCTTAAACCCTTTCCCTTTTCACTCTCCCCCCAACCCCCCTCCCATCTGGCAACCATCAATTTGTTCTCCGTATCTATGAGTTTACTTTTGTTTGTTCATTTATTTTGTTTTTTAGATTTTACATATAAGTGAAACCATATGATATGTCTTTCTCTGTCTGATTTATTTCATTTAGCATAATACCCTCTAGGTTCATCCATGTTTTCCAAATGGCAAGATTTCATTGTTTTTATTATGGCTGAGTAATATTCCATTGTATATAGATACCACATTTTCTTTATCTATTGATGGATACTTAGATTGCTTCCATATCTTGGCTATTTTAAATAATGCCGCAATGAATATAAAAGTGCATATGTCTTTTTTACTTAGTGTTTTGGCTTTCTTCCAATAAATATACAGAAGTGGAATTGCTGGGTCATAAGGTAGCTTTATTTTTAATTTTTTGAGGAACCTCCATACTGTTTTTCATAGTGGCTGCACCAGTTTATAATCCCACCAGCAGTGCACAAGGGTTCCCTTTTCTCCACATCCGCACCAATTCATGTTTGTTGGTTTGTTGATGATAGCCATTCTGATAGGGGATACCTCATTGTAGTTTTAATTTGCATTTCCTTAATGATTAGTGATGTTGAGCATCTTTTCATATGTCTGTTGACCATCTATATGTCCCCTTGGAGAAATGTCTGTTCAGGTCTTCTGCCCAGTTTTTAATTGGATTGTTCATTTTTTATTGGTGTTAAGTTTTATGAGTTCCTCATATATTTTGGATATTAACCCCTTATCTGGGCTGGCCGAGTGGCTCAGTTGGTTAAGAGCTTGCTCAAGAGTTTGAGCTCTGAGCAACAGTGGTTCAAGTCCAGCCTGAGCTGAGCAGCCGTGAGCTACCAATAGGTAGCAGGATGGCTCAGCTAAAAAAAAAAAAAAACCCCTTATCAGATGTATCATTGGTGAATATCTTCCCCAATTCAATAGGTTGTCTTTTGGTTTTGTTGATGGTTTCCTTCGCTGTGCAAAAACTCTTTAGCTTGATGTAGTCCCATTTCTTCATGTTTTTTTCTTTTGTTTTCCTTGCCCGAGGAGACATATCCAGAAAAATATTACTAAGAACGATGTTAAAGAGTTTACCGCTTGGGGCTGGCCGAGTGGCTCGTTGGTTAAGAGTTGGCTTATGGGCGCGAGCTCTGAGCAGCAGGACTGCCAGTTCGCATCCCACATGAGCCAGTGATGCTGTGCCCTTGACGCTAAGATGGTGAACAATAGCTCCACCTGGAACTGGGCTGCAGTGAGTCGCCAGAGATGGCATAGGCTGCAGTGGGGCTGCAGTGGGCTGCTGTGAGCTACCCTGAGTGGCGGGCATCCAGCGTGAGCAGCCGGCAGCAGGTGTGAGCGGCCGTGATCTGCTGTGAGCAATGGCTGGCGACCGACTGCCTCACCTGGGAAGAACGCAATGTTCACAATACCAACATGGGCCAGTGAAGCGACGTCCTCCACAACTAGACTGAACAACAAAAGGATAGCAACTTGTCTGTTCCCCTCCCCCGATTCCCCAATAAAATCTTTAAAAAAAAAAAAAAGAGTTTGCCGCTTATGTTTTTTTATAGGAGTTTTATGGTTTCGGGTCTTACATTTATGTCTTTAACCCATTTTGAGTTTGTTCTGTATATGGTGTAAGAAAGGGATCCAGCTTCATTCTTTTGCATGTGTCTGTCCATTTATTGAATAGACTGTCTTTACCGCATTGTACATTCTTGCCTCCTTTGTCATAGATGAATTGACTATATAGGCATGGGTTTATTTTGAAGAGAGACATATTTAAGATAATTGGGAAATCTGCTTATGGACTGAGTGTTATTCTTCATTTTGCTAGGTGTGAGACTGGCGTTAAACTTATATGAGAAAATGCCCATATTTTTCAGAAATGCACATAGAAAGTATGTAGGGGTGAAATGACATGATATCTGGGAATTGCTTAAAAATACGTAAGCAGATTTTTTTTAAAGGAAATGTGTTAGTTGAAGCAAACATGGCAATAAATTGTTGGATCTGGTGATAGATATATGGGTCTTCATTGTACTTTTATATATGCTTGAAATTCTTCATAATAGAAAAATAAAAATGATGCTACTGAGGACATCTTTGTGCATAAATCTTTGCCTGCCCCATAGATAGCCCCAGAAGAGATTCCCAGAAGGGAATTAGTCAGTCAGTTAGGAACAGTTTTAAGGCTCTCTATGCTTCCCGATAATATGCTTACCAAGATTTGTTGCACAACTTTACTCTTGGAAAGGTAGGTTTTAGATAAATGGAGGAAAGTAGGAAAGATATTCCAAAAACAACATTGGTATGATCAGATGTGAAGGTGAGTACTCTTTTAGAAAACACATTTGTGGAATGATGACTATATAAGTCAGACTAGAGCAAAGAATAGGCTAAAACCATACCTTACAGCCAGATCACAGAAAGTCTTTAATGCTTTAAGATATTTTCCCGTAACACGGGAGCCATTTTAAGGTCTTTGAGAAGGAAGGTGACTTAGAACAGTTGTGTTCACGTTCAATACAGTGAAAGGCTGTGGGTTTTCTTTTGGCCGACTTCCTAAACTGAAATGCCAGTAATCCTTTGTGTAAGAAACACTGTGTAGAGGCTTACAGATTGCTGGAAGGATCTCCAGAGGTTATCTGATTGATGATCTCTTTGGCACAGGCCTGTAAATTATCTCTAAATCTTTTCTCTGTTTCTATTTTCTGTGGATGCAGGGAACAAGCTTGTGTAGTACTTATAATACCACTTTATGATATTTGAAAACAGCATCCCTTAACCTTCATTTTCCTAGTCCTTAAAAACTCATTTTACCTTATAAACTACTCCCAAGTTTCAAGCAATAGATATAATAATACGTGGTTTTATCCTTTGTTTAGTTTTTCACTGACCCTCATCACTTTTTTTTAAGTCTCATTTGTCCCCAATTGCCTTCCCCTATCCCCTCTCCACCAGCCCCCCCACCTCAACCCCTCCCACCTCTGCCTATGGGATCAGGCAAGTGAGGTAGCCACCCTGTGCCCTGTGCTTCAGGGGTTCTTGTACCTTACCCCTCTTTTCTCAGTACCATTAAAATGCAACTTAGATTGTTGTCCCTTTATTGATATCCCAAGCATGCTGTGAAAGATGAGGGCAGTGCAGCATCCTTTCAAGTGTGAATATCTTGAGCAAGGGGCTCGACTTCCATACCCTTTTAGAGATGGCCCTGTTTCTCACTGTTTCTTATTTATCATATATATTGTGTTTATTGTGGAATGTAGGTTCCACAGAGCAGGGAATTTTGTTGTTTTGCTCATGACTATATTTTCAGGGCTTAGAACAATGCCTGACACATAGTAGATTTTCAATAAATATTTGTTGACTGAATACATGAATAGAATTCATTTATTTGCATGTCTTTATCTCTTTATACTGTAAAATCCTTGCTAGTTAATGATATGTAAATTTTGGGATCACTTACTGTGGGCCAGTGCCTATCACAGTGCCTTGTTAACTAATCAGTATTTATTTAGAGAGCTAAATCTAATAACTTTCTAACCATGTACTCAAGCAAGGCAAAGAAATATACAAATGAAAATTATTGTGCCCCTCATTTGTACAGACTTTTTAATAAAAGCATTGCAGTTGTGAGTCCTATCTCAATAATGTCCCTCAATAAATAAGGGCATCCTGTGGGGGCTTCACCTTTAGATGATGTTCCAACTGCTCTTTATAACTTGACCCTGATAGCATGTCTTCTAAAAAATAGTTTATGGCAGAGTGCACCCAAGTTTTAAATAGGCATATATGCCTTTGACACAGTAATTCCATTTCTAGGAATCTAGTCTACTGAAAAATCGGATAAGTGACAAATGGACAAAGATTTATAGCAATGCTATTTATAAGATGGGAAACTGGAAGACCATGCATCCATATATTAGAAAGTATGATTATACAGTCATCATATATCATACTTTATAATGGCATATAAACCATATATAAATATAGATGGATACTTCTGGTTACAGATGGAGTAAAGGGATTTTTACTCTTACCTTTCTCAAAAGTCATTATTCACACACACAAAAAATTTTATCTTCAAGGAAAGAGTTACAACCTCTGACAGAAGCATATACGCTAAGTACTGTGAAATCAGGATTTGGTGAAGGAGGAAGCTAAGAACTGATTTGCTTTCTCAGAGCTAGAGACTTTCTTAAACATGCCACAGTTAGGAACGGCTTATCGAACAATCTCTTGATTAGATTGACATGATCTCCATCTGCAGGTGGCTTCAGGAGAATGGAGAATGTCCCCAGAGGGCTCAGGTTAATAACTCAAAATTGCAGAGAAGATGGAGCTGAAGGGGAAACCAGGCAAGACACAGCACAGGAGACTGCTGGAGGTAAAGCATGGCAAAGGAAGGGGTCTTAGATGGCTCAGGCTGCTGTAACAAGACTATAGGCTGTGCAGCTTAAAACAACAGACATTTATTTTCTCACAGTTCCAGAGGCTGAAAGTCCAAGATCAGGGTGCTAGCAGGGTTGGTTTTTGGTAGGACCTCTCTTCCTGGCTTGTAGGTGGCCATCACTGTGTGCTCACATGATCTCTTCTTTGTCCTTATGGGTAGGGAGATAGAGTGTGTGCTGTGGTGTCTCTTCTTAGGACACTGATTCTCTCCTGTAAGGCACTAGCCTTATGACCTCATTTAACCTTAATTACCTCTTTATAGGCCTTATCTTCAAATATAGTCCAACTGGGGCTTAGGGCTTCAACATATGACTGGTGGGGATACAGTTCAGTCCATAGCAGGTGGTGAGAAGGCAGCCAAAACAGAAAGAGTGAGACTGAAGGGGATTTCTAGGAGCCCCATTGCAAAGGAAGTAATAAACTTAATAAGAGGTTATTGAAGACAACTAACCTCAATGAAAGTTGCAGATTACCCCAGCTTACTTCTCATCCTTCTGCAGCATGTTTCAGGAAATAACAAGACCCATTTAAAAAGAATAATCAGAAAGGACACAGAAGGGGACTGCTTTAGGTCAGGTTCTCTAGAAACAGACCCTGACACAGGAATTCTTGTAAGAGTGATTTTTATTAAGGGTATGCTCAGGAAGCAGCATAGGGCAGGGGAGAAGGTTAACCAAAGATATGACTTCAGCTGAAGTTTAGTCTTAGCCTGATCCCATAGAGAATTCTGAAGCACGAGTGGTACCAGAGAGGCATATTACCTGATCTTGAGACAAGGCACATAGCCTCTGTACTCCCCAAATCCATTAATCATTGGCCATGGGCCACCCTCAGGGGAACATAACCTCTCAGACATTTCTGGGCAAGGTTACTCCTGTCATTTAGTGCAGTTCTCAGAAGAAGAGACATCTGTGAGCTATTAGCAGCCAACACAGCAACTGGCAGATGGATGCATTGACTTGGTAAAAGGGACCTGAACAGAACACCAACAGCGTCCATTATAGCAGTGGTTCTCAAAGTGTGGTCTTTGGAACAGCAGTATCAGCCTCATTTGAGAACTTGTGAGAAATGCAAATTCCCTAGCCCAACCTCAGATCTGTTGAATCAGAAACTCGAGGGGTGGGACCCATGAAGCAGTGTCTTAACAAGCCCTTCAGGTGATTTTGATGTATGCCAAAGTTTGAGAACCGCTGTATTATAGGGAACTATGACTAGAAACTAAAACAAGAGGAGGGGGTAGAAAACATAATAAAATAAGGCAGATACAGAACATTTTTTGCAAGAGAAATTACACAGAACACATCAAGAATTGAGACCCATAGTAATCACTCAAAAAGACAAAAAGAGCTCAAAGGAGAGCTACAAGGATTTAAAGAAAAAAGTATATAAGACACAGAAGATGAAACGTAAACTGGCAGAGCTAGGAAGAGAAATGGAAGAAAAATTGTTTCAGGGGTGAAAGCACCTAAGCAAAGGAATGCTGATGGTAATTATAGCAGTCAGTGTTCAGTCAGGAAAACTGAAATCAATCTAGATAGATAGTCAAAGCAGAGAGGGAAACAATGCAGGGAATTTGTTACAAAGTATTGAAAAGTCTGGGAAAACAGACTGGAGATGGGGATGTAATCCAGAGCTGGAGCCCATGAGCCACACACACCATTGACCAGTGGAGGCACCATCGCTGCCTCTGAACAGAAACCAGCACATCACCATGGCTGGTGATACCAAAGCTGCTACAATGCAGAGTCACCTACAGTCACTACAGCCAGAACTGGAAAAAATGGTTTTTCCCTTCCACCTACCTTCTAATCTTCCACCAGTACTTACCATTGGCAGATCCTAACCAGGAAGCAACTGACAAGGGCATCTGGGGTTTCAGGCTTCCAGCTCTCCGAAATCCAGAGGAGAGTATGGGAGAATGGGAATGGGTGAGAACCAAGAAACTATAACTGACACAATAATAAACCAAATTTAAGGAGAATCAGGATCAGAGGAGAAAGCTTGAGAAAAATCACGAAATGGAATAGAGAAAACAAAGATTCAAAAATAGTTATAGAGGGCTGGCCGAGTGGCTCAGTTGGTTAAGAGTTGGCTTAGGAGCACGAGCTCTGAGCAACAGGGCTGCCAGTTCAGTTCCCACATGGGCCAGTGACACTGTGCCAGAGCTGAGCTGTCGCTGGGCTGCCAACAGGTGGCAGGATGGCTCAGCTGGTGTAATAACAAGGTTGCCTGTTCGATGGTGGGCTATGCCCACCCACAACTAAGACTGAACTTGGCACCTTGAGCTGAGCTGCCGCCCGGATGGCTCAGTGGATAGAGCTGTGCGCTCTCAACAACAAGGCTGCTGGTTCGACTCCCATGTGGGATGATGGCTACACCCACCCGCAACTAAGATTGAACACAGCACCTTGAGCTTAGAGGCCACGCGCTGCCGACAGGCAGCCAGATGGCGACTGGCGCCCTCCACAACAAAGATTAAAGAATAACAGCTTGGCTGGTCCCCTTCCCCAATTCCCCAGCACTGTTTCCCTCCCCCAATTCCCCAATAAAATCTTTAAAAAAATAGTTATAGAGAAGATAATAGTTTTGGAAGAAAAAGGGATACAAGGTACCCATAATTATTGTTCCTGAGTAAAAGAATAGGACAAAATGCAACAGAAAATATATTCAAGGCAACAGAAGAAAATGTCCCTGAAATTAAAAAACTATATATATCTAAATCATATCTATATCATCTCTCTCTCTCTCTCTCTCTCTCTCTCTCTCTCTCTATATATATATATATATATATATATACACACACACACACACACACACACACACACACACACACACACACACACAGCCTTTATTTATTGGGCTATTATAACAAAAAAACACAGACTGGGTGACTTGCAGATAACAGAAATTTATTTCTCACAGTTCTGAAGGCCGGAAGTCCTAGGTCAGGGTATCAACAAGGCCAGGAGAGGGCCCTCTTCTGGGTTGCAGACTTCTATCCTCACATGGTAGAAGGGGGCATGCTAGCTCTCGGGGGCCTCTTTTATAAGATCACTAACTCTGTTCATGAGGACTCTGCCCTCATGACCTGATCACTTCCCAGAGGCCCTACTTCTTAATACTATCACATTGTGCTTTAGGATTCAGCATGTGGATTTGGGGGGGACATAAGCAATCAGACCATAGCAATAGTTCAGGAAATTTTGATGTAGAACAATGAACACTGGAATATGTCTTAGTGAAGTTCCTGAACTTGAATTATAAAGAAAGAATCTGATAGGTTTCCAGGCAGAATAAAAGCAATTCAAGTGTCAGGAGAAATAAATTAGGCTGGCCTCAGACTTCTCCTCTCATTACTACTACTAGACCACAGTAGAGCAAAATCCACAAATCTCTGAGGTAAAGAGATTGAAACACAGGAACCTGAAACCCAGCCAGGTGTCCTTCAGGGTTGAAGACTACAGACTGGCATTTTGCAAGCATGTAAAACTTCACGGAACGCAGGACTCATGTGCCCTTTTTGCACAAAACTACTTGAGACTTTCAGTGATGTAATCTATATGGCATGTAGGTATCCTGGAATGATTCCTCAATCGAACACCTAATAATGCTGGATAAAATACTTTAATACACCTTTTTAAAGTAATGGCTGAGCTTACCAGAAATGAAATACGTAGTCTGTGGCCGGGAACGAATTGAGAGCCCGACTCTAGGGAGGTGAACAAGCATTAAAGTTGGTAGGTCATTCCGGGGGCATCTGCTAATGCTTGATAGTCAGAGCTTTGGTTTCCTAGGCCTCCTGCCAGGCACACAAGGCAATGTCTTTTGTCTACCAGAATGGGGTGTAGGCTCATTGCCCTACATAAAGCCGGGTACTGCAAAGGGCATCACCCTCAGAGAACAAGTGATCTAAGGGAAAAGCCCTCCTGTCTAAAGCAGACAGACATGTGGTAATGAAGTATTTCCTTCAAAAGAGTTGATGCTCTGACTGCAAACTGTGCTTGGAGCTGGCCAGGACATATTAACAAGCTTCTTTCATGTACCAGTAGTTTACAATGTTAGCCCAGCAGAATGCGTTCATTCTTGCTACCCAAACCCAGAGAGGTCACCTTCAAAGAGAAAAGCCCTTTTCCCATCACGATTAGAATTGAGCCCAAACGCTTGCTATCCCCTGCACATTTTCTTTTTTCCATTTTTGTCAATGTAGTTTTTTCCACTTAAATGCCCTTCCCCCTTCTCGTGTTCTCCAGGTTTCCATCACAAATTATGGAAGTTCTGGGCATCCTTGAAGACCAAGCCCCAAAGGCCACCACCTCCATAAAGCTTTCTCAGATCCATCCCGCTCAGAGGGATTTCCCTCTGAATTCCCTGAGCATTCCGTCTTTACCTCAGCTCTAACCCATCATGTTCCGCCTTGAATTATCACAGTGTACATTTGGTCTCCCATGAGGTTAAGTTGCTGGACAACAGCTAGACTTTGTCCATCTTTGCATCACTCAGCACCCAGAAAAGAATCAATGCTCAATTAATGCCAGATACATTAAATGGAAGAGAATTTAATTGGAACACTTGGGGTCTGTTTTATTAATCTGAAAACTCCTCAGTTCCAGCTACTGTTGTTTGTTGAAAACTGGGAGGTTTCTGTGCATTTATAGACATGAGTTGGAGGACCATCTGAGAAGTGATTGAGAGGAGCATGGTCTTAGAAGCTCTCTCCTCTTGTGGAACTTAGGACTTAGAAAGGACAGTGCTCAGCTGTGCTTTAAAAGTCCCACCATTTTCACAGCTACTGAGTCACAGTATATGCTCACAAACTCATACCAGTATTGTTCAGTAGCTTTGGCAGGATGAAGAATTTTTATCGTGTCCCGACTTGTCCTGTCTTCTTTCCATCCCCTGCCCCCTAAAAAGGGAGCCTAAGGAGGCAGCTGTGAAACAATAATGATGATAATAGCAGCCAGCACTTCCATGGCATTTTCTCCAAGCTAGGCACTCGTGCATCCTCTTGACAGGGTAAACACTATTGGTATTCCACTTTATAGTTTAAGATGTCAAGGCAGCTTAATCAGAGTCACACCACTAGCATGGAGTGGTGCCAGGACTCTGGCCTTGAAGTTAAAGATGGGGTCTGAATCTCAGCTTCTTACTAATTCTGAGACCCTCCACAAGTTAGTTAATACTGAACCTTGATTTCTTCCTCTGTAAAATGGGGATAATCTCCTCTTTGAGATCTATGGGTATTGCAATTAAATAAGATAACCTATCTAAAAGTACCTGTGTCTGGTAGATGACTAATGATAGATGTTTTAGAGAGAGTAAAATAGCACATTAATAATATTAACATTGTAGCCACTAAGGCAAAGCCAAGGAGAACGTGTTTTCATGTCAGAAAAATGTCTCCCAAGTCCATTCTTTTATGTCATGTTGTGAAGGTACTTTGATCCCAATGTGAAAAATTCTCTAGTGGGAGTTCACAAGACAAAACCACATTTGACATGTAACACACGGAGACTGAGTGTTCTTCCCATCAGATGAGGCCCCTTCCAGCATATGGTACTTTTGCTGATCAGATTACTGCACATTGGGGTATAATAAAAGATAGAACAGGCTGACACATATTGGAAAGGAAAATGTAAAGATCACACTGAAGCCATCCCCAATAGGCTGATATATTTTAATCATTCTGTATTAGCTTGCTGCATCTTAAAATATTTTTTTCAAGTCAAGTCACAGCTGTGTGTACTTTAGGCTGTGGCCGTCATAAGCAAATATGACAAGAAGCAGAGTTAAAACAGATGAATAGCAATGGTTATCCATTAGTCTGATATAATTTAACACAAATGACCATTAGGAGACTTGCAAAAAAAATATATCAGAGAAACAGTATTTCAAATATGAGCTTTTGTAAAACTGAATGACAGTTTTGCCGGGGCCTATTGTCTAATTTGGTCAAGGTTATTTTTTTGGGAAGCCAGTCCTCCCCATCAAGTGAATCTGTTGATATGAGTAAGTAAAGATAGTGGAAAATTCCAGGGTATAGAGATCCAGATTTCTATCAAATATATTCAAAGATGGTAAAGTGAATACCTTCATCTTCTATGGTAGAATTGGCTATACATCCCCATGGAAACTCACCCCTCGCCCCCACCACCACTGACTGGTTTCAATCTTTTGGCAAGGAAAGGATTACCATCCTTCCTGTCTCCTGCCATCCCTACTCCCTTCTCTTCCAATTCCTCATCTCTCTCTAAACACCTGACATCCTCCCATCCTTGGGAGTTTAGTGTCTTAATTATCAATTCCATAAATGGCAAATTTGGTAAAATGCATTTACCTAATATAAGGGATGCCATATCTAACCACTAGGTATTACAGTGGCTGGAGAGAGCACACCTCAAAAGTATGCCCATGGAATGCGACTGCTCACACACTCTGAGACATCATGCAATGAAAGTGGTCTCCACAGCGGAGGGTGTGGAGTTGTACATTCTTGGACACTCATCTTACTTATTGCCTCATTTTCTGATTATAGCAATTGTTTGCTTGGATTGGAAATATCTGAGCTTGTGACTCCACTGGGGAGATAGGTCAAGAGGTGGAAGCCAGCTGGGGAGAGCCGAGCCTTGAGGAGCACTCCTGTTGGTCACCTGGAGCTGGAGGATCTGTCCAGATTAGCTGTGGAGCTTTTCCAGAACAGCACGAACTTCCTCTGGATGATAATCCCAAGGGCCAGGTTTACCCTGCAAAAGAAATGAATCAGCATTCCCAGATTTCTGACTTGCAGGAGACTTGGGCTAGTGTTATCTATGTGGGAGTCGTTAGGATGGTGTTGTCCATGGTCGATACAGCCATGAGGTAGGCGAGATCACCCAGGGAGAGTTAATGGGAGGACTGGGCGGAGAAGTAGCAAAACCAGAGTGGGTAAAGGGGATAGAGTTTCAAAAGGAGAAAGGGGCCTATACAAGTAAGGTTTTCTTGCCTAATCAGACCTTTGGACTGGCTATGTCTTCTTCTCCACCCCTCACATTAAGTTCTTTCCATTCCACATCAGAGCCAGCTCTGCCTCTCCAATCCCACTGCCCCAGTTCAGCCTTCTTCATCTTCATGGCAGCTGCCACACCTCCCGACTATCCCCAGCTCTCTGCTCCTCTGCTCCCACCAGTCCATTCTTCACCCCATAGCCAGTGATCTTTCTAAAGTAAGGGTCTGATCGTGCCTCTCCTCTGCTCAAAACTCTTTAAAGGCTCTCTTTTGCCCTCAGATGAAGGCCAGACTCCTTGGCCAGACCCCTGAAGCCCTAATGCCTTCAATTCTCCATTCACACCTTGCCATAACATGCCTCCATGCCTTTGCCCACCCTCTTCCCAATATTTGCAATAATTTTCACTCACCATGCTCACTAGTCTAGTTCCTTATCCTTTAAGGCCCGAGCAATTGTCACCTCCCTTGAAAAGCCTCCCCTCCCCTAGGGGTCAGAAAATTAATATTCTGAGAGCTACATCTGTCCTGAGGCCTCCACACCCTTGCGTTTACATATTGTCTATGCCATTTTTGTGCTATGCCAGCGGAACTGAATCGTTGCAACAGAGATTGTTTGGCCCACAGAGTCAAAACTATTTACTTACTGTCTGGCCCTTTACGGGAAAGGTTTTCTGCCCCCTGCTCTGGAGTCTCACAGGCCTTGGGAGACTGTAACACTCTCTTTGGGTCTTCCTTATCCCCCAGACCGTGAGCACCTTGAAGTAAGGTGCGGACCATTTTAAAATTCATTTTTGTGTTTCTAGTACTTGCACAGGGCCTAACCCAGGGTAGGGACTCCGTGCCCAGCTTGCCTCGATCGTGCCGTCTTGGAGCTGTCTCAAGGGAGGGGAAAGGAAGAACCTGAATCCTTGTGCTTTGCCCCTTGGCATCCTGGGGATTCCTCTCCAAGCCCTTGCTTATTTTACCTGCATACATAGGACTAGCTTGCCCTGTGGGCAGAGGAGCATCCACACGGCCGAGCTTCTTGTGCTCTCCAAGGCTGAGCCCTTCACCAGTGTAAAACTTAGTTTCTGCCCTCTCAGGGGAGGCCAGTAGTGCCCAAGGGGTCGGAGGCTGTGCTTACACCCCTCACCTTGGTCGAGCTAGAAGCCTTGAGAGGAACACAATCCTTTCAGAAAGGAAGCCTGGCCCCAGTTCCTGCCTTGAATTCCTGCTTCAGCACTTCCAGCTCTGAACTGCAGGGTCTGTTCTCCTCTGGCCTCCTACACCCCCTCCAGGTTCAGGCCCGCCTCAGAGATAGCTGCTTCAGACGGCTCCCGACTCATTCCATCCAGAGGATTTAGAATTGAAATCAGAGCCTCATCCACCATGACCTTGGGCAACTCAGTTCTCGTGAGCATTGTTTATAAAATAGAAACAACATTCTCCATCTCTCAGCTTTCAGCTAAACCAGGGCTAGGCCAGTCTTCTGGGTTCAGAAGGCAGCCAGGTTAGGGACTTTCCTGTGCCTTTTTTCATCCCCTGTGGCATGGGGCCAACATCTCTATTTTGCAGAAGAGGAAATTGAAGCTCCAAGAGGGGAAATGATTTGCCCGTGGTCACACGGCTGGTAAATGGCTGGGCAGCGATTTGAATCCAGGTCTGCCCGTACAAAGCCCTCTCTGTGCCCTTTGCCCTCCCTGGGTCCCTGCCCCCCAGGGAGGGGCGGCATCACCTTGTACAGGATCCTGCCCCCCTGGAGCACGTAGAGCCTCTCGGGCAGTGCCGCGTAGAGCTGGCTGCTCTGGTTCTTCATTGTGTCCACCACCACTGGGCACTGCGGGCTCCTGTCCAGCAGCAGGCGGGCTGCCTGCAGGCGGTCCTGGAGGTTCCGGTGATTCCTGATGTTCACGTTGTTCTTAAAAGCCCAGCCATCTACAAGAGAAAGGCCAGGCAGCAGACCTCACTGGCATGGCATACACTTCCTGCAGACTAAATACTCCCCACTTTTAACTGAGGATCCCAGAAAGAGGAGCCCTTGGCCATGATTTGGCCCAGTTTCCTATTATGGGCAAATGCATAAGATCACATAGGGAGTTAGTGGTTGACCCAGAGCTCAGCTCCTGATTCCCAGACCCTGGCTCTTCAATGCGAGACAGTCCAACAGATCAGTGCTTCTCAAACTCTAATGTGCAAACGAAATACTCAGGGACCTTGTTAAAGAAAGATGCTGATTCGGCCTGTTTAAAGTGGCACTGAGTCTAGCTAGCTCCCAGGATGCCAAGGCTGCTGGTGCCTGGCCACACCCAGAGAGGCAAGGGTTTAAAGCAGTAGTTCTCTAAGTGTGAGCTGCCCAGACCAGCAACGTCAGCATCACCTGTGAGCTTGTTAGTAATGCAAATTCTCAGATCCTACCTTAGACTGACCAGGAATGGGGCCCACCAGTCTGTTTTAACAGCCATCCAGATGATTCTAACACATGCCCAAGTTTGAGAACTGTTGCTCTAGAGTCTAGACAAGTTCCCTCTCCTAATTATTCTCCACCAGACCGTTCTTTCAAAAAATGCAAATCTGACCATGTCATTCTCCTGCTTAGATCTTTCAATGGCTCCCTCTTGCCCTCAGGATAAGCTCCTCAGTGTGACCTACCAGGTTCTTAGTAAGCTGGCCCATCTCGCCAGCCTTCCTCCAACTTTTTGCTCCAGCCAAGCAGGTATACTATTTGGGGTTCCTTGACCCAGTCACCCCCACACTGTCTCTCACTTCCACCCTTTCCATCATAGCTCCTGCTTCCAGCTGTGGTGCGTGTACAGCAGGACCTGCTCTTTCCTTGTTTGACTGCTGCTGCTGCTGCTGCTGCAGCTGATGTGTTAGCTGTGCTGACAGCCTCATGACAAGGCGCTCAGTGTGAATTCAGAGCCAAGTACAACTGCTAGCCTGGCAATCACCCTTATTGTCATCCCCCCCTACACCATCTTCCTGCCTCCTGATCTTACTACCTCCTAACTCATCATCCAGAAATCTCCGAGAATGATTTCTAACACAAAATTTGATCATATTTTATTTCTGCTTAAAAACCAATTAGAGGACCAACTCCTTAGCACAGCATTTAATGATTCCTGTCATCTCTCCCAACCTACATTTCCAGTCACGGCTGCCAGTCCTTTCCACATCTAGCCAAAGTGGACTCCTCCTCAAATGACACTGGCACCTCTCGGCTCTTTCTGCTTATCATCTCTTCCATATTTGAAATCCTACCTGTCTTTTTAAGGCTCAACTCTAACGGGGCTTCTCACCTTTGGTACTATTAACATTTTGGGCCAGATAATTCTTTCTTGGGGGGGGCCGTCCTGTGTGTTGTAGGATATTGAACCAAGTTGAATCTTTAGCCTCTACTTACTGGATATCAGTAGCAACCCCTCACCTCCTAAACCCCAATTTGTGACAATCAAAAATGTCTCCAGACATTGCAAAATGTCCCCTGGAGGACAAAATCACCCTCAGTTGAGAACCACTGCTCTAACACCACTTCGAGAAGCCTTCCCTGCCACGCTCAGCTGTGTGATATTCGCAAGCTCTTTATGCCTTTTTAAAGTCGCAGTTTTCCCATCTGATAAACGGGATGAATAGAACCTATACTGCTGAGGCTTAAATGAGATGACTTGTATGGAATTCCCAGTACTCTGCCTGGTTCATAGACTCTGCTCAAAAAAATATTGGTTTATTTTGCCTGACTGCTCCCAAATAACAGACTGGAAAGAACCCAGTTTTTATTCTATACCACAGCTTATTTTCTACTTTGTTCTGGAAATCCCCCCTCCAAAACAAACCCATTTAAGACTGCTTAACTTTACAGGGAAGGGGATTTTCAATTGGCCTCATTTACTAAGGTGCCCTTCTGCCTACTGCTTACAGGAGGTGACACTTATTATTAATAGCTAATGGGCCCGCAGGTTGATAAAATAACCACAAACTGCTACTGGCCATGCCCTTGTACTTGCCCCAGTTCTGGGGAGCCTGAAACCCAGATGGCCTGTGTTTATAATAATATTGGGTTGTCGTAAAAGTCAGGATGTATTTTTTCTCTGTTTTTCATTGCAAAAAATGCATCATGACTTTCCTGACAACCCAATAGTTGCCACCCAGGGTAATATAAGTTGCTTAAGTCCATCAGCAGAATTGGCTCCACTTCCACAGTGCTTCAAAGTCCTCTTCTCAGGACCCTGTCCCCAAGAAAAACTGGTATTAAAGTATTCATTACCTGCCGCAAGACATCAAAACTTTGTGGATGACAATCACACCAGCTTAGATTTGTTTAGATCGTGGTTAGGCCGCCAGTCTTGTCCACCCACTAGTTCACTGGAGCTTCACAGCAGCCTCCTCTGGGAGGCCAAGCAGAGGTTCTTGTCCCCATCCTGCAGCTGGAGGCCCAGAGAAGAGCACTGACTTGCCTCCCAGCTTCAACTGTGAGTTCCTTAGAGGCAGGAACTGTGTGTATCTTCCATCTCTATATCCCCAGGCTGAGCACAGAACTGGGCACATAGCAAGTCCTCGTTAACTGTTGCAGAATGAATGATTCTGCGAGGTCAGTGTTGTCATCCCATTGTAGTGGCGCGGAAGTGGGCGTGGAAGGTAGGTTGCCCAGGTTGTGTGGCCAGCACCGTGACGGAGCTGGGACTCACATTCAGGTCTGAAGCTCCAGAGTCTGTGCCTCCCACCACACTTCGTGCTTCCCCATCATTTACCTGGGCAGATGTGGTGTGTGGGGAGAAGGAAGCCAACTGATTTGGGCCACAGAACCCAGAACTCCTAGGATCGGTGACACTGGCTCTGTGCGCTTTCATTCTGAAGTTCAGGCCATACCCACTCCTGATGAACAGAAACAAGTACCCTGGGGAAGGAGTGGGGGGAGGAGGAAGAAATGCCCAACCTAGGAGTGGCAAAGCACAGAGGCGAGAAATCAGTCTATCCAGACAGAAAGCCTTTCCTCAATGGATGAGGTGAACAGCCCTGGGTTGTGGAAAGGGTTAAACTTGCTGGGTCTGATTCCGGGAAAATTGGGTCAGGAAACAGGTATCAGGACCAGAAACAATTTCTATGATGATCTGATCCCTCTTTTCACAGTTTGTTGCTTGCTCTTTTAGAGATTCAAGTTGGACCCTCTAGGGCAGCGGTTCTCAACCTGTGGGTCGCGACCCCTTTGGGGGTCGAACGACCCTTTCACAGGGGTCGCCTAAGACCATCGGAAAACAAAAAGATACTTACAGTACGATTCATAACAGTAGCAAAATTACAGTTATAGAGTAGCAATGAAAATAATTTTATGGTTGGGGGTCACCACAACATGAGGAACTGTATTAAGGGGTCACGGCATTAGGAAGGTTGAGAACTGCTGCTCTAGGGCCTTGCTACTCCAGGTATGGTCCCTGAACCAACAGCCTCAATATCACCTGGGGAGCTGGTTAGAAATGACAAATCTCAGGCCCCTTTGCAGCGCCCCCTTGAGCCAGAATCTGCATCTTAGTAAGCTCCCCAGGTAATTTAAGTACACATTAAAGTTTGAGAAGTGCTACCCTAGGACAGTTAAATCAGCTTTGGCTGAGCTTCAGCTGTTAGCTCTGATGACATCAAGGCATCATCTCTTCTCAACCATGGAGACTACAGACACCTATAGGCTCCCAAAGTTCTCTCTTTAACTGAGAGCTACTGCTCTCCCAAAGGGGTACTTAACAAAGAGGTACATTCTGCTTGTGTTTCCTCTCCTGTTACCTATGCCGTTTAAATGTTATGGAAAATTTCAAAAATACGTGAAAGTAGAGAGAATGCTATAATGAACCTCTGTGTACCTATTACCTGATGCTAATATTTTAAGTTGCCCCAAATTCTTAATGAGGACATAAGCTGCCAGTTAAATGAATACAGTATTACGTTGAAAGCAGTTCTCAAACCTTTGGGTGCATATAACTCAGGATGCAATGAGCCCAGGGTGGGGCCCTGGAATATTCATTTTCTTTCTTTCTTTTTTTTTTAAAGATTTTTATTGGGGAATTGGGGAGGGGAACAGTGTTGGGGAATTAGGGAAGGGGAACGTTGTGTTTTTCCAGGACCCATCAGCTCCAAGTCAAGTTGTTGTCCTTCAATCTTAGTTGTGGAGTGTGCAGCTCAGCCAAGTCCAGTCGCCGCTTTCAATCTAGTTGTGTGTGTGTGTGTGTGGGCGGGGGGCACAGCCCACCACCCCATGCGGGAGTCGAACTGGCAACCTTGTTGTTAAGAGCACGCACTCTCACCAGCTCAGCAGCAACTCAGCTCGGGCACAGCTCACTGGCCCATGTGGGAATCAAACCGGCGACCCTGTTGCTCAGAGCTTGCGCTCTAACCAACTGAGCCACCTGGTTGGCCCTGGAATATACATTTTCAACAAGCAACCCAGGTGGCTCTGACACGGGGCATCCAGGGACCACACTGGAGAAAGGCTGCTGGCCAACTTTGCTGAGTGAATTAATAGCAATCTCTACACTTACAACACGTGGATGAGCCAGCAAGGCTAATAGTGGCCTAAAACACTGTCATTCACCCAAATTTACTGAGCTCTGTCTGTGACATGGACTCTGCCAGGTACTGGGTGACAAAGACAATCTTGTGGGGAGATGGGTGAGTTAACAACGTTCTATTCGGCTACCTGAGCCTTCTTGCCTGTTTCAATCTCTGGGTTTGAGGGTTGGGCCAAATTTTGAGATTGATCCCCATGAAAACCAGGGAGATTGAAGTGTATCTGACCCTTTTGTAAAGTTCATGGGACTTAGATCAAGCTGTAGAAGTTTCAGGGAGGCACATGTCTGCCCATTGTAAGGAAGGGCTTTCTCACAAACAGCTGTCTAGTAAAGGAAAGATTTCCCATGAAGTAATGAAGATGGGTGACAACCTGTTAGGGACTGAAGAAAGGATTCCTGCCCCAGGTAAAATGCTGGTCTGGGGAAGTGGTTCTCCAGGTGTGGTCCCCAGACCTGCAACTTCATTATCACCCGGAGCTTGTTGGAAATGCAAATTATCAGGCCCCAGCCCAGACCTAACACACTCTGGGGTGGGGTTCAGCAGTCTGTTATAATAAGCCTTCCAGGTACTTCGCATACTCACTAAAGCTTGGGAACAACTGACTGAGATGAATCACAATATCCCTTTGAGCTTGGAGGGTCTTAGGATGAATTTCACAAATAGCTATATAGCAGTCATTTCATTAGTGACATTTCAGGTCTAAGATCCTTGTAATTGTGTTCATAGTAGCTCCTCTCCCTTGACTTCCCTATTTATGCATTCGGAATGTCAAATGATGTCCCAGCTAGACCCTGTCACTCCTGGTTTTCTGCTCTGTGTGCCTGGTCGAAAGCACGAACTGAAGTTATGAGTGGTGGGTAAACCCAGTGGTGGGTAAACCTAGCAGGGACTGGGAGATGGGGGGAGCCCAGTGAATAGTGGCTGTTTCCCTCTCCTCATATACCTCTCCCCACCCCACCTTGGGAGAAGGGGAGAGAGAAAAGAGAGGGCAGGAGGAGGTAGAGGCAGGCAATCTTTCTGTACCTGATGCGTGCGCTTCTTCAATGTAAATGATGAGAAAATCTGCTATGGAGCTAAAGTCTTCAATAAGTCTCTTGAACTGGTCAAGTTTGAAAAGAAATGAAGGTCAGGTACAACTTCCGAAATTCAGCACCAAAGGCCTGTTGCCTGAAACAGAAGCGAAACCACAATCAACCAATAGTCTACACACAGCATTTCTTGTGTGAGCACCATCTGCACTCCAGCATCCAATTCTATCATCTTTATTTCCTCTCTAAGGTGAATCCAGGGCACTGGGAGGGGCTGAAGCTTAGAGAGCTGTTAGCAGAGCCTGGATGCAGTTTACCCTCTAAAATGAGCCTTTTATCAGGAGGCCTCAGAAGGCCCCCTGCAGTCGCTGGGTGGGAATCAAAAGAAGGATAAGAGTCCCTGTAATTGTTTATAAGGCAGGCACACATTCATTCTCTCACAGGATGTGATTAGTATCCTGCAAGGTAGATTATTTCCTCCCCCCCCCCCCCCCCCCCCCCATTTTATAGACAAACTAAGCTTTATAAGCTTGCTCGGTGTCACACAGCAGATCAGTGGTGGAGTGGAAATTAACACTCTGGCTCCTAGACTCTCAATTCAATGCTTTTAACATTTAAAGCACCTCAGTTTCCTCATCCATAAATGGTCATAGTAATAATACTTACTTTATAGGATTGTTATGAGAATTATTAAGTTAATACAGAGAAGGGATTAAAATGGTGCCTGACCCATAGTAAGTGCTCGATAAATGTAAGCTGCTGTTATTAGCTATTATCTGTTCCCTGAGCTATGAAGTGGGGGAGGCAGTGAAGGGGACTCCACAAAGAGGATTGAAGGGTGGGAGCAGGGCCAGCTACATCATTGGCTGGGCCCAGTGCAAAATGAAAATGTAAAGCCCCTTGTTCAGCAAGTGGGGTGGGGGGGAGAGAAGTACCTTAAGTACTTTATATTAAAATGTAAAGATGTTTTCTTCTGCGATCTCTGTCATGCCCTGGGATGGTGCTTTTACATTGCTATTTAATGTTGCACTCCTCTGAACACAGGGCTATCCATAGGGTGAATGCAGACCTTCACAGCCTCCCAAGAGCCCCATAACTCAGTGTGCATGTGTATGTGTGTCTGTGGCCACTGGCTACTGGCATTCCTTTCCCTTTAGCCACCAGACCAATGTGCCAACCAGGAGCACAGAAATTGAGCCAGACATTTCTCCTTCCCACCTACCCACCACCCCAACCTACAGGATATTACGAACTCTGTGCAGGGACCTGCTAGGTACCTTGATGGGGACAGGAGGTGGGCAAGAGACTCCTCCTGCCAGGTCATCTCCAATCACTTGTCAAATTGCACCATGATGCTGTCAGCCCAGGGTGGGGATGACTGCCTCCATATCCTGCCAGGAGATGATGTGAGATGCCCACATCTGACCCTGACATTTCCCGTGCCCATGTCCAGGCTCTATCTGGGGCCAGAAGGTAGCAGCAGTCACTGGGTGGGAACAGGAAGGAGACTGAATGGGCTGGGGCATTCAGGAGTGGGAGTGGGCCTGGAAGAGCAGGTCCCAGGGGGAGCAGGGAGACTGTGGGGGGCGGGATCCTGCAGGAGCCAAGGCTCCAAGTGCCCAGGCATGTGCCATCATCCCATCAGGCTTCACTCACCAAATGCAAATGCAAAGATAAAACTATTAAAAATTTCAAGACAGCTACTGTAGAGCATTAAATGCTAAGCACAGGGCCGTTCCAAATGTGGGACCCCGTGTGATTCACTGGTCCCATGCCCATGAAGCTGATCCTGGGTGGGAGCCTTCTGTGACTCGCCCAGCCTAGATTGAGGGCAACTCTAGGCAGCTGCCAGCATTCTGAGGTTACTTATGGCCAGAGTAGACATTATTGAGCCCCTTACTGTACCGCTGTCAGAGCTCAGCACCTCTAGCTAGCACTGTGATATGGCCTGTGTAAGTAAGTGGCTATGTCCCTCATTGCCCCGTGAGGGCAAGGCCGTTTCCTTATTCATCCTCACATCCCCAACATTGAGCACACTCTCATTCCATCTATAAGCATTTATCTAGCACTGATAATGCACAAGGATCTCTGCGACACGCTGGGCATTCAGCAGAGAACAAGACCAGTAGATCTCTGCTTGCATGCAATTTGAGGTCTGTTTAATAGGGAGAGAAGCAAAAAAACCCTAAGTTAATACATAAATGAAGTAATTTCAAGTCGTGATAAGTGTTAGGAAAGAGACTATAAAGGAATGACATACTTTAGACGGGCAGGTCAAAGGATGTCCCCGAGGAGATGCCATTTAACCTGAGAAATGGAAGACTGGGAATGAGCCAGCCAGGGCAGAGGGAGGAGAAGGGCATTCCAGACAAAGAGACGCCATTACAAAGGTCCTGAGGAGGGACAGAACTCGGTGTGTTCAAGGACCTGCATGGGCACTGTGACGGGAGTCAGGCTGGGCATGGGGGGTGGGGCAATGAGAGTGGTGGTTGGAGAGGTAGTTATGGGCCAGCGCAGGCAGGCTCTCCTATCCCGTAAAGAATTTGAATTGTATTCTAGGTGCAATGGAATGTCATGGAGATACAAAGCAAGGATGGTGGATATTTGTTACAATTTTGGCTGGCGAACTCCTAACCCTCCTTCCTACTTGGAATTCACTATTTTGTGTAATAGCGATGATTGTGTAATGTCGCCCTATGGAAGACAGAGAGGCCAGGTCCATTCTCTGTCCCCAGCAGCCAGGACACAGGCAGTGACCCAGGCTGGCTGATTAGACCCTCCCACCCTCCCACCTAGATCTTTGATTTTGGAGTCATGGAGATGGCAGAATTAATCCACAGCCCTCTCAGGGATGGCGGAGTCCTACAGCAATGATGAGTTCCCATGGCAACCAAAGTGACAGCAGCATCCGGGCCTAACTGTTGATGCTAAAGGACAGTCCAGGCCCAGTGCTCCAGCTGTGGTTGATTCTGGCGATCCTGCAACACCTTTCTAATATGTCCTTTTGTATATGTATGTGTGTAACAAAACTAGAATGAGTTTATGTTGCTTGCAAGCCAGAACCCTGACTGCTACAGTAGGGCTGTATAATGAAAAATGATCGTGTTTACACAGATCACTTTGGCTACTCTATGGGGAGAAGACTGAGGGTAAGAATGGCAGTGGGGGAGATGCAGTGAAGGGACGTGGGAGAAATCCACATGAGAGGTAATGGGAGCGTGGGCTGGTGTGTGGGCAGTGGAGAAGGAAAAGCTGGAATCCACAGGACTTGCTGATTGAAGGGGAGTACAGGGCATCTTAACTTGCTTGTGGTTTATTTTTGGTTGGTTATTCCCTCACCTACTTCTGAAAAGGATTTGATGCAGTTTACACATATAATAAAATACTAAATAGATATTTTTAAAACAAATCATGCCCCTCTGGGAGGCATAGAAAAGGAAGGAAATGTAAAACAAATAAAAAGGCCTTCAGGACCCTGCATTTGTTATAACTGAGCTAATAGGACTCTGAGTGTCCTGGTGGACAAGTAAAAGGAGAAAGAATTGGTTGTATTTTCCTCATTTTTCAGTACATGAGAAGAAGCAGGCTGGTTTCCCTGGAGATACAAAGTTCTCCTGTCCTTGGCTCATAGATTTTTCTCATAGGAGGCCCTAGAGGGCACTGAGTGGGGCTCAGTCCCTGCTGGTTGATTGCACAAGTCCTCACCCATGTGACAGGGTTGCACAGGCCTTAGCAGGAGAGGCTTAAAGACGAGTTGTGGCCAAGTGGCTGGCCATTGGCCTGCAATGACCCCAGGGAGTCACCTTTTAAAGAAGACCTCAAAAGACTTAAGGTCAGGACCAGTGTTAAATATTAGCTGTCGGGAATTTGTCTTTACATGGAAAAAAAAAGATTCACACATACTGATTAGGACCTTAAAAGAGACAGAGCCATTTGTTTATTTGTAGTGTGTAGAGTGCAGTGATCAGTACTGAGGGCAAAGTTTAAACTCAGTTCCCTGCTTTCCTGGTAGCAGAGAGAGGAAAGATAGGTGCAAGGGGTGGCAGTGCTGACACCTTGCCCGTGTCCCCAGGCCATGGTGCAGAGAACACCATTTTTTCCAAGAATGTTGGGCAAGGAATGTCAAGTCCAACTCGTCTGTACAAATGGAAAAAACAGCTCTATAATAGCACTGGGTTCGACAAATGGAAAAAACAGCTCTGTAATAGCACTGGGTTCGAACCCACCATCATGACCCCCGGACCAGTAAATTAACCCCCATATCAGGCTCTCTCACAGAGAAAGCCCATTTATAATTACTACATGACATAAGTAGGCTTGGAGAGATTTTAGAAGATATTAAACAAGGGCTGAAATAAATCTGGTTTCAGATAAACGCTTAGGTACCTATAAAATAAATCATTAGACTTGCCTTCTACCACAGTACATCAGTTAATCAATGTTTGCTGTGTGTATCCGAGAACATGTGTGTATCATGTGTGCGAATGTACATGCAGAGAATAGGAGGTGGCTGAGAATTTCTCTGAGCCTCTGTTGTCTTACCCAATAACAGAAAGTGTACTAGCTGAGAGTCAGAAGGCATAAATTCTAGTTCTGACTCTCTAAGAATTTGCTGTGTGACTCTGAGCAAGTAATTGACCTCTCTCTCTAGGCCTTTGCATCTAAAAAAATGAAACAGTTGCTTTAGGTTGTCCATAAAGAATCTTCCAGACCTTTTAGACTGTGGCTCTAAAATGAGTTCAATTTTATACCCAAAGCATACAAGCAGAGCTTTTGAGTGGCCTAATGGGTTCAAAAGCAGTTCCAGGATATCATTCTCATAAGCAGCAGCCCTGATCATGTCAACTCCTTGCTTGAAAATCTCCTTAGAACTTACCCGTACCCTCAGATAAAGCCTACTCTTCAGTAAGACACATAAGGCCTCCCAAACTCTGGTCCCTGATGGTGTCTCCAGCCTCATCCTTCACCCATTCCTGTCTCCCACACCCCACTTCTGCCAAACTGACCCATGTTCCCTGTCTTGGACCTCTCCTACTCCTCCCCTATGTCCTGCTCTGCTCCTGCTCCCCCTTCCCCAGCCCCCCTAAGGCTTCACTGTCCCTAAAAACTCAGCTCACCACCCTCTTCTCCAGGAAGCCTTCCTCTGACCACCTCCCTACCCCACCCCACTTCTTCTAGAGCCCCCTGACTCCCTCTCTCACTACACCATCTCCCTCTTTGTGTTATGTGATCTTCTGGGGCAGAGACCAGGTGTGCTGATTTCTGTACCACCAGCACCTATTACTTCAGTGGACTCTAAGTCAATGTGCTGAAAACCAACTCTATTTCATAAACAGAGTTTTCTTTTGCATCTCGGGCTCCTTCTCTCTTCTTTCTTCAGTCTCAGGTGCAACAGCAGGGAACAGAAACCAACAGAACAGTCTTTAAAATGTAAATTGGTTCACTGAAAGTAAACAATTAAAAGAAGCAAGTAAATTCTGTGAATTGACCATGATGCAAGTTGGCCTTCATGGAACTGATTGCTAGATGATTGATATTCAGCCAGTTGGCCTGGTTGTCACAGTCCTTGAAACATAGTGGATGCACAATAAAAGTTATTTGTTATTCTCATTGCTCTTATTATTAGTGGTCATTTGGTGAATGTTTGTTGAATAAATAGAGATCATTTGTACACCCTGTTTTAAAATCATGAGCAAAAAACTCTTGCCTTTCTTTTTTTGCTAGAAATATTTTCCCCTTTTCTGTAACCAAGGTATGGAAATCTTACTTATTCTTCAAGGCCTAGTTCCAAAGCCACCTCTTCCAGGAAACCTTACAAGCCCTGCAGGCAAAGGTCATACCTGACAGCCTCCCCCATCTCATAGAGCTACAAGAATTTGTTTATCACCTCCATCTGTTCTGTGGAAACATAAACTCCTTGAGTGAAGCAGCAAGCTCTTACCTAACCCTGGCATCTAGCTGAGGTGCCCATGAATGGTTGTTGAGGTGCATGGAAAAAACAAGATGAAGAAGCCCTGATTCTGGGTCTGACTCAGTCACTGGCTCGGTTACCTTTCCTCTCAGTTTTCTCCATTTCCTTCTAAACTGAGAGCATTGGATTAGATCAACATTTCCCAAAGGGTGTTCTTTGGAACCAATATGATGATAGACCATTCCCCTGGTGGAGAGCGGGGAGGGGTGTGTGTGTGTGTGTGTGTGTGTGTGTGTGTGTGTGTGTATTAGGAAAATTAGTGCTGTGCTCAAGTTTGTTTGTTTGTTTTTAAGCTTCAGGTCTTCTCAGAGCCTTTTATATGTTCATGTGCACTATGAATTTCCAGGAGGAGGTTATAGTGTGCAGGGTTTCCCAAACTACTTCGACCAGGGGACTCTATGTAATAATAAAGCATATCTGTGGGATTTGGGTTCCAAAGAACACACTTTGAAAAGCCAACTGCCTCTGCTTTATGGATAACCTAAGTTACATTGCCAACTGCCTCTGGGACCTTCTGTACTCTACCTGCTGGATCTAGGCCCTGGGAATTCAGAGATGAATCAGACACAGCCCTGTCACAAGGCTTCCCCTCAGGCAGGAAGAAAACACTTGCGCTTAGGCAGCCAGAGACTAGGTAGGAAGAATCAGTGTCTGAGAAGAAGTGCAGATGGAGAACCATGAATCCAGAAGAGAGAGAGCATGTGCCCAGCTGTAGGGATCTGAGACGGCTGGCTTCACAGAGGGGGAGGCAGGAGAGCAGGACCCTGACGATAAGGGGGATTTGGACTGTTGGCGATGGAGGGGAGGAGCCAATAACTTCAGCAAAGGCAGAGAGGGAAAGAAAGGCACAAGGGACGGCCAAGGCCCAATGGTTCATCTGCAGGTAGGGAGCCTGAGAGGAAGCTTGCAGGTGAAATTGGGGAGGAAAGCTGGACTCAGCCCAGGGAGGACCCTGAGCACAAAGCACAGCCCAGGGACGACCTTGAGCATTTGTCCTGAATGCAGAGAGGGGCTGCCAAAGGTTGGTGAGCTGGGGTTGCAGATCGGTCAGGGATGTGCTTGTGGAAGGATAATCTGGCAGCCATTCACAAGTTGGGTGGGAAGAGAGGGCAAGAGGGGAGGAGGACGTCCTGGCAGGAAGAGCAGCTATGAGGACAAAAAGAGAAAACTGATTGGAGAGCTCTTTAAGAACCCAAGTAGATAGAACTGGTTTGCCTAGAAGAGAGAGAACGCGTATGAGATCTTCAACAAATATTTACTGAGCAACTACTGAGTCAGCAGCAGCCATGGGGGCATGACAGTGGGTTAGAGCAATGGTCTCCATCTGCACAGAGCTGGCAGGCTAGTGAGGGTGACAGACACTAATCAGATACCCACAAATAATTACAAACCAGGACAGGTGCAATAATGAAAAGTTTAGGATATTGAACATACAAGAGGAGGTAACCTAGTCTGGAGGAGTTGGGGTTGGCTTGTCGCAGGAAATGTCACTGAGCAACAGTCTGCAGAATGAATGGAGTTGACTAGGCAGAGAGAGGGGTGAAGTGCATCCCAGGCAGAGCGACTGCACAGTAAGAGCGGTGCTGGAGGAGCTGAAGGCCAGTGTGGCTGGTTTGTGGTTTGAGTGTCTGTGAAGGTGCTGATGCCACTCAGAAAAACAGAATCCAAGAGAAGTCCTGGTTTTGGGAAGTGGGAAGAGGACAAGAAGCCAGAAAACTGCAGCTGGAGTAGTAGAAGAAGAATTCAGGACTTTCCAACCCACCTCCCCACCGGCCTGAGCACCCCCATTCCAAGCACTTCTCAAACTGTATTAGCCTCCTGACCTCGCATGAAGTCCCAAATGTTGCAACTCCGTCCTGAGAGGCGGACCACGGGGCAATTTGGGGCCAGACCCCCTTCCTCGGTTGTGTCCTCCAGTCGCTGCCAACGGACCTTCAGGATGAACCAGAAATACTGGGTGCTGAAGAGGGTTGGCACCCAGTTGTCATAGGAAAAATTGGGGTTCTTCCGGTTCAGGGCCGTGATGTGCTGCTTGACTCTGCTGGGAAACAGTATCAGTTGTACTTTGCCCACGGCCACATGCAAGGCAACCTGCAGGAGCACCCAGAGCCTCTTCAGCCACAGCCCTGGCCAGGGCAGCCCCATCTCGGCACAGCCTGAGCTGGCTCTGTGGCCTCTGGGCAGAGAGGCCGCAGCTGGGCCACACTGGGCGGAGCTGAACAAAGGTGCAGGATGGGAGTAGCCAACCCGGGATAGGAGGAAGGTGCCGGGACCAAAGATATTTGCCTTCCTGTCAAATGGATAGAAAATTCCAAACCAGGTGTTCAAAGATCTGTTCTAAATATGATCACTTCTGATTCTTCCCCTTAACCTTTGACAGAGTCTTGGATTGGAAGATATCAATCTTAAATTCTCCCCCTGATAAATGTTTAAGAACAAATCCTTTAAAAGATCACACTTAAAGGGACTCTATGATCCTTTAGAAAGGCTATGTTGCGTGTGAGTACGTTCTAATGTTAATTATTCTTTTAATAAAGTAAATATTTCTTTTACAAATGAAAAATGTTTTTCTTACAGCTTCTAGCTGGTGGTTGAGTGTTTCTGGAGGCATAGCCCTCCCCAGAGGATTCGGGTTTAGAAGCTCCCCAGGCAGAGACAGAGCTGGGGCCATCCCCAAGGAAAACTGGGCCTGCCACTTTCATTAGCACCAGGGTCAGAGTATAAATACAACAACATTCTCTGCTCTCAGCAGGGTGCTGGTCTAGAGTGGGGAAAAAACACATAAACAGAAAATTACCAGTTTTCAAAATCTTTGAAGTCTGCTCTTTGTCTTTTAAAATGTATGTAGTTTCCTTACAAAATTTTATAATCAAATTTTGTTGGGGGCTGGGGTGGTGAATACATACTCATATATGAATTTTGTGTCCTGTTTATTGCAGGATGGCTCTGGCCTACCTTGGGCATTGTGTAGGCAACCTATTCTAGTTCTCCCTCACCCACATGTGGGGTCAAACAATCTTAGCCCTTAACACCAGGCACATAAAAAAAAAAAAAGAGGCCTGTTGATATTCCAAAAGCAAAAGATTAAAGTGGTTCCAACTGCCCATTGCTTATTTACAATCCCTGGAGCCAACGTGAGATGCTCCCACAGTACCAGCAGCCTTCTTTTTGGGATGGATATCGCTCATGGGGTGTTGGAGACACTTTATGGAGCGTGGCTCAGCTGTGTGGTTGCCAGCTTTCCTCTTCACAGAAAGCCAAGGGAGTCGGTCAGGATCACATGCAGCATCTAATCAAGGCTCATATTTTCAGTGTCCTCTCCGCCCCCCCATACCTGTCCATCAGAGCAAGACTTGCTCATCATCTTCCCTCCCCTGCCTCATTCTTCTCCGTGCTATCTAAGTGAGGGTGGGGTGGCTTCTGTCTCTCGGTGGTTCATTTCCACCCCGCAGAGCAATAGAGGTCTGATTAGTATCATCAGCTGGGCTCACCTACCTTACCAGACTTGGGCAGACAAGTTAAGAAAATCTGAACATTTGAGCTCAGTTTTTCAACCTTGACATCAAGAACTAGATAATTCTTTGTTATGAGGGGCTACCTGTGCATTGTAGGATGTTGAGAAGTACCCTGGGCAGTAGCACTCCACAAGTCATGACAACCAAAAATGTCTTTAGACATTGCCAAATATCCCCTGGAAGCAAAACAGTCCCCGGTTCAAAATCACTTTTAATTAAACCAGTACAGTTATCTTTGATTCTTGTTTCATTTTGCACCAAAACTTACATATCATTATAACTAATATATCAATATAATGTTTACTTCTGTTTTCAAGAGAAGAAATATATAGTCCAGGTGTCATCACCTCCCCACATTATACACACACACTTATCGCTAAATGGGGTTGTTATTGCCGTCTGACTGGTGAGCTGTTCAGTTCCCCAATTCCAACCTGAGGGCTGCTTTCTGGGGCCACTCTTGGTACCAACATGCCTTAGTGTGGATTCCTCATATCAGTATGTTATTGGCAAGTGTAAATGCAAGGACCAGGGTTGTAAAGCAGGCCAGGAAGGAGAGCCGTTGCTAGGATACATTATCAAATCAGCCACTTCCAAAGGCATTTGGTTGCTTGATCCTGCAAGATAGTTTGAAAGCTATGTGAGATATCTGAGGGGAAAAAGGAAGAAGCATCTATTCATCAGGTGTTGACACCACCGGTCAAAGATTTGCCACCTGAGGCAAAAACCACTCCCCACACCTGCTCCTCTGGGTTGCTCCTGTCTGGGTGCTGAACAGTTCCAGCAGTGCCATGACCCCATAGTATCCAGACACAAGCCCTGATGCAGAAGGTGAGAAACCTGAGGTACGGGATTGAGGTGAAGCTCACTTAGGTTATACCTGCTGAAGCTGGGATAAGATCAGTGGTGGTGAAACAAGCAGCAGGTGAGGCCCCAGCCAAACCTCCCGACTCCATCCCTGGGGCATAATGCAGACTGTTGCGGGAATGAAGGAACAAATTTCCACACTTACTGGGATGCCCATATTAACAAACTACCCTCGATCACTCATTCACAAACGCTGAGTAATTGACTCATTCACTCCCTCACTGGTTAATGACATTTTTATGGCCAAAAAGAATTGGGGTGGGGGTTGATGACTTTTTTTCTTTTCACAATCGTCCTTCATTATGCCATTTTATATTTCAATAAGAAAAGAGGTATAAACAAACAGAAAACTCCACACTTTTGAAAATTCTGTGAGCCCCGCGGGACCGAAGCGAGCGGAGAGGAACCTTCTCAGCCGAGGCCTGCCTCTTGAAGAACCTCAGCCTCACACTCAGGAAGGGCGGTGAAGGCAGCACTCTCTGGATGCCGCTGCTCACTGAGATCTGCGGGAGCAAAAGTCTCCGGGTGCTGCTGTCTCTTTAAAGAGGCGGGGCTCTACCCGGAGGAGGCGGAGAAGTTCCGCCCCCCGGATCTCCGGTTTCCGGCAACTCGGAGGGACCGGAACCTACGCGGAGCTTCTGAGGCCCGATCCTTCCCGGGACCGGCTGGACGCCGAGCCCCCCGAGGTGAGGCGGCCGGGTGTGCCGGGCTGGCCCGGGACAAAGGGGGCCCGCTATCCCCTGCCTGCCCGGGCCGCTGCGGCCCAGCTCCTCCATCTAAAACACTGCTTCTGCTTTTTGGGCAGCTCTTTGCCAGACCTGCCTGGGCTCAGGGTGCCCGAGGCGTCAGGGTTGCCATCACTCCCGCTCTTGCTGATTGCTTAGCTGTGCACTAAGCGCCTTACTGCCTCATTTAATGGCCCCCAACACCGTATGAGTAGGTACCATTACGAACCCATTTTACAGATGAGGATACTGAGACCCCGAGGAACCCACAGTCACTCAGCGAGAAGCAGCAGAATCGGGAATGAAACCCAGGTCTGTCTGACCCCAGAGCCTGTGAACCTTAACCACTGGCTAGGCTGAACGGCGTTTGCTCTTCACTGCCCTCACCGCCACCTTTCTCAGCCCTCAGCTTTCCCTTCCTTATTCTTTTCATCTCCAGGCTGCACCTGGTCCCTAAACATAGTGAGATTGGATGGAACCTTTGGACCCCCCCCCCCAGTTACTTTATAACAGTTTTAATAATATCTAATGCTAAATGACTCTTTATTTAAACCCATCAAAGCCCACTAAAAAAGAAGGCAAATACCATTTCGAATGCTGAAATAAGATTTGTTTGTAGAAATTTTATTTTGGTATCCTATAAAGTTTATTTATTTTTCCCTTTTAGACCTCTGCAAATTTGCTTCCTAATAATTGGGAGAAGACCCACTGGCTAAATGGCAGCCGTAGATGACTTGCAGTTTGAAGGTACATCATTTGGGTGCCCACCTTTGTCTTTATGATCAGTATTTCTGCAGTCACAGCAACAGATTTTTATTGCTATACTGGCACATACATTAAAGAAGATTATTTCAAACATCTTAGTAAAAGAATGTTAGTTACACCCAGGTTTTTCTATTTGCCCACACCAGCTGGTTTTTTTTTTTTTTGATTTTGTTTTGTTTTTGCCAAATAGCCCTTCAGATGGTAACATCATAAATTTAGGACAGTGACTACAGAAAATATATAGAGAGTTACTGCTTAAGTTCAACAAACATTTATTGAGCACCTACTTTGTGTTTAGAACTGTACTAGGTACAGGAGATGCAGATAAAGGAGAATTTTTTTATACTGCTGGAGTAGATAAAAGTGTAAAAAGATAATTATGATGAAATATGATCAGGTCATTTCTTCACTGACTCGTAAGTATCTCATGAGTATGACCATGAACCAGGCAATTGTTCTAGTTATCAGGGCTAGAAGAGTGAACAAACAGCCAGTTTCTTCCCTATGAAGCTATCAGTCGAGTAAGGGAGACATTTATTTGTGAAATGGTCATTTAAGTATGTTATTTGAATATTAAATAATCTACAAACTATGAAAGGGCTATAGGAAGAGTTCATAGCTCGTAACCCAGACCCTGACCTAGGCTAGGAATTGATGAATGCTTATTTGTCTTGTAAACACTTGTGCAGCTCTACTATATGGCAGGCATTGTTCCAAGTGGTTTGCAAATATTAACTTGTTTAATCCTTAGTCAACTTTATGAAATAGTTATTTTATTCTCCCTATTTTACCAGAAAAATTTAGTAATTTGCCTAAAGGTTAGACAGTGAGTGGTAAAGCAGGATTTGAACCCAGGCAGTCTACCTTCACAACCTATGCTATCTCACTACTCTCTGAGGAAGAGATATGATGAGAAACCCATTTCATCAGCAAATACTGTCAGTTCCATCTTCATAATACATCCAGCATCTGACCACTTCTCACCACTTCTACTACTCTCCCTCCGTGTTCAATGCCATGATCACCTCTTGTCTGTATTATAGCCCTTAACCTTCCTTTTGGTCTTCCTGCTACCTCCCTTGCCCCGCTATAGTAAGTATGTTGTAGCCAGAGTAGTCCTTTAAAAATAAGTCAGATCATGTCCTTCCTTTAAAACCTTCCAGTGGCTCCCATCTCATTAGGAGTGAAAACCAGAGCCCATTCTGTGCTTCGGAAGCCCTTACATGATCCAGCCCTCCACTGCCTCTGATTTCATCTCTTGTTACTCTTACCCTTTCTCTATCTGCTCTATCCACACAGGCCTCGTCACTGTTCCTCCTAGACATCAAGTACACTCACAGTTTAGGGCTTTTGTGCCATCTTTCTGTTTGGGACATTCTTACTCCAGATAGCTACATGGCTTGTTCCCTCACTCTATTCAAATCTCACTTCATCAGAGAGGCCTTCCTTGGCCATCCTATAGAGGAGTACAGTGCGAGAAAGTTCAAGCATAGAGAACAGCTTATACAAAGTACCTGCAGAGGGAGGAAATTTGCTTGGTTGTTTCTCAAGTAATTGAAAGAAGGCCAATGAATCAGAGAAGGGAGAGGCTGTCACAAGGTGGGGTTTGAGAGGGGACAGGAGCCACATCTTATAGGACTTCATAAACTATGTTAAGGACTTTGCTTTTTAAAAAAGAACTATCCGGGTCAGGATGCTATGCGGGTCATGGAAGGCTTCCCTGAGGAAGAATGGCAGTGTTAGATAAATAAGTGGCGTTCAGGGCCCCTCAGGTAGAAGATACTGTGTCAAGAAAGGAACAGAGGCGAAAAAAATAGCGTGGGATGTGCTGGGATATAGAAGCAGAGAATGCTGGTGGAAATAAGAAACGTACCAATCTTGCCCTCAAGGAGCTGAGATGGGCAAGAATAACTAATAGAGAGCAGAATGTGTGAATGGTCATCATGTGAGAGGTACACACATCCTACATTCCCATCAAACTATGCCATCTGCTGTTCCTCAAACACAGGACACGTTTTCCATCTTCGTCATCCCATTTCCTTTGCATGAGATGCCACCACTCTGGCCATCCTTCTCACGTGGCAGCTTCTCCAAGAAGGCTTTTCCAAGCCCATCAAGTAGATGACTTAGTGTCCTCCTTTGATCTTCTTTGGCCTTTGTACCTATAATGTGACACTCTCTGCTCTTCCTTCTGGCATGCCCTTGCACCTTGTAATCTGCTTTTTAAATATGTGACTTAAGTATATCTTCTTGGTGTGATTCCCTCAGGAAAAGTTGTGACCTCATCTTTTTAAATCAGTGTCCTGTCCAGTCAATAAATGATAGTTATAACAATATTTATTATCTCATATCTCCAAATCTTTATGTAAGATTATCTACTTTTTATAGTTGCAGAAACAGACTCAGAGACATGGAGTAATCTGCCCAAGGTCATGGAGTATTAAAATCTTAACTTAAACAAAGGACCACCTCACTCCAGGGCCTCATGCTGCTTCAACAGACAAAAAACACTGGAGACTGAAGCTTAAGTAATTGTAACATATCAGCCACCTAATTAATTTCAATCACTTTAGTTTTCTCTATAAAACTGTTCGCATAGCTGGAAGGCAATAAGAGTGGGCTCGGTTATCCAAGAGTCCCATCCTACTGCCAATTGGAGGATTCATGCCATGTTTGTAGTGTTATAATGGTGCCCTGCTGAGACCTTGTCTTACTCCTGCCAAGTTCCAACCTGCCCTGAATTGTAGTCAAGAGCAACTAAATAAAGTTTGTTAGGATACCCAGAGACAGGAAATCTCAGTCCTTGCTTGTGGATGTGAATAGGTGAGGTTATTTTGCAAAGCAGTTTAACTGGCTCAAGAGGTTTGTACCCTTTGACCTAGTGATCGCACTGAGATGTGTTCATCCTAAGCAATAACCCAAAAAGCTTTCTCTACACAGACTCTCCTCACAGTGTTATTTGTACTAATGAAGAGTTGGGAACATTCCAAATATCCAACAATAGTGGAATAATTGTGTTAACTTATGGTGTCTCTCTTCTACTCTCTCTACCTCCCCCCTCCCCAGCTGATGAAATATTATGTAGCCACATAAATAATCATTGTAAAGACTGATATAATGTGAAAATATCATTTTTATATAATCCCCAGTAGACAGAACAGAATACAAAATTGTTTACATAGTACTATCACGTCCTAAATTAGTATTTGGCACATTGTAGGCATGCAGTAAATATTTGTTGAATGAATGAATGATCATTACTGTCATGAATCTTACTATATAGAGAAAAGGAAATATACCAAAAGTTAATAGTAGTTGACTTTATGTGGTTGGATTAAGAGTGGTTTTTATTCCACAGTTTCTACTTCTCATTTTTGTCCTATGTTTTCTATAGGATTACATAGGACTTATTGGAAAAAATAACTTCCATTACAATTTTTTGTACTTGAATCATTTTTTTTTTTTTTTAGCTGAGCCATCCTGCTACCCATTGGCAGCTTAGTGGCAGCTCAGCTCGGGCCGGGCATTGAACCACTATTGCTCAGAGCTCGCACTGTTGAGCGAGCTCTTAACCAACTGAGCCACTTGGCCAGCCCCTTGTATCTGAATTAAAGAAGAGAGGTTTAGAGTGGGTACTTGCTGTGGGCCAGGCACTCTGCTAAGGACTTAGGTAATATTCCTAACTTTCCCAACATTCTTTAAAGTAAATATTCTTCTCCCCCTTGTACAGATGAGAACACTAAGGCTTATAGACATTAAGTTACTTACTCAGGTTCATGTTGTTGGTAAGTAACTGAGCCAGGAATAAAATCCAGGTCTGACTTCAAATTCTGTTGTCGTAATCATTGTTCTATGTTGGCTTGATTTCTAGATGAGATTTTCTATTCAGATCCTTTTGCCATTTGTGTCAGAGAGGGACTGTAGCAAAGCTGAGGTTGTGACAGCTTGTCTTTAAATGAAAAATATAGCATTTCCAGTGTGGGTCAAGTCTCTGATGCCTTTATGTTCTAACTGATTTCAGAATTTAGTGATGTAGCCACTTCTCTAGCAGCAAACCCAGATGCCACCACAATAAGCATCGAGGATCCTGGTGAAACCCCCAAACATCAGCCAGGACCCCCAAGAGGCTCAGGGAGAGAAGAGGATGATGAGTTACTGGGAAATGATGACTCTGACAAAACTGAGGTTCGAACTTGTCTTTGAAATTGTTTTTTTCTTTTAATTTTGAAAAAAATGTGTTCATGTATATGCTTACTGTCTCCCGTGTGCCAGGTAGAGTGCCAGGCAGTGGCAGCACAAAGTGGCCCTGCCTTGGGGGATATAAACAGACAGGCAAACAGACCATTGTCATCCATGGTGGAAGGGACCCCAGGGGTTATGGAAGCAGAGAGAAGGGCGTCACAGAAGGCTTCCTGGAGTTAGTGAACTTAATGAGTCTTGATAAAAGAGTAGGAAGTAGCCAGAGGAAGAAGGTGGGGAAGGGTGATCCCAGCAAAGGGAACAGTTTCGATGAAGTCACAGCGGCATGAAAAAACACGGTACAGACAGTACACCTCCTATCTTCATATACATTCGGAGCAAAACATAGGTGAAGACAGGAGGCTACGCAGATAGGAAGGAGTCAACCCAGTGAGTATGGATTGTATTCCGAAAACTATCAGGAGCTATTGAAAGATTTAAAATAATGTGGCCAGATATGTTTAAAGATACTTAAGATATGGTGACCTTGTGGAGTATAAATTGGAGGGAGATGGACTGGTAGGAAACTGTTGGAGTGGGGTAGGCCAGAAGTTTTGGAGCCTGAACTAGAGTTGGACACAGAGGCATAGGGGGTGGGCTCAGTAGGACTTGGTGTCAAAGGGGTGAGAGAAGGAGGCGGAGGATTCTAAGGAGACACGTAGGTTTCTGCATCTAGTAGGATGGTGGCTCTCAGGTGGCTTTTTTGATCATAAAAAAATTTATTTCCATGTGCACTGTTGTGTTCCATAAAAATCATATTTCTAGTAATATATTATAAATGAAATCATGACTAGTGCACTAGAGGAGCACCCAGTTTATAGCAGTGGTTCCCAGGCTTATTAAAATAGTGGAGCTCTTGGGTGTCAGGTGCTCTTTGTGGAACTCCATGAAATATCCAAACAAGTACCAAAGTTTATGCTAAATGAAATACCATTGTATATTAAATACTGTGACTGGAGTTCAGACTTAGGAGCCTCACTTTGGATCCTGGTCCGGCCAGCAGTTGCTGTGTGGTCTTGTAAGGTACTTTAACTTACTTAAGCCTGAAATATAAGAAAATAGTATGTTGACTATTGTCATCATTATCACAATAGTTAACATTTATTCAGTGTTTTAATAGCTGCCAGACATCATTTAAAGTTCCTTGGGTCATCTCATTCAATCCTCAAAACAACCCTGTATGGCAGGAACTATTCCTATCCTCGTTTTACATGTGAGAAACCTGAGGTACGGAGTTTAAGTAAGTAACTTGCCCCATTACACACAATTGGCAGGTAGCAGATGGAACTCTTTAAGTCGAGGCAGTCTGAGTGCAGAGCCTGTGCTCCTCCTCTCTGTACTACAGTTAGTGTATGTTAACTACTTATGAAAGTGATTGGCACCCTCAGGAGACAGGAGTGCTTATTACTATAGCTGAATGTATTAGGTTTCTCCAGAGAAATAGAACCAATAGGATGTGTATATAGAGAGAAAGAGGTTTATTTTAAAGAAGTGGTTCACATGATTGTGGATGCTTGGCAAGTCTAAAACCTGATGGAGGAGGCTGGTAGGCTAGAGACTCAGGAAAAAGTTGGAGTTTGAGCTTAAAGGCATTCTGCTGTAGAACCAGGAAAAGCGAACGTTGCAGATGAAGGCATTCTACTGGCGAATTCCCTCTTGCTCAGGAGGTCAGTCTTTTCAGGCCTTCACCTGATTGGCTGAGGTCCACCCACAGTTTGGAGGGCAATCTGCTTTACTCAAAAAGTCCACTGAGTTAAATGTAAATCTCACCCAAAAACACCCTCATGAAACATCTAGAATAATGTTTGACCAAATATCTGGGCACTGTGGCCCAGACAAATGGATACATAAAATTAACCATTACACTGAGCAACAGTAAGCTTCGAAAGTTTAAGAAGGAATGTATAGGGGGGAAAAAAATCTAAAAACTGAAAACATTCTATCCGTGATCTTAATTTTGTCTGTGAATTGGGAAGAGGTTACCAATAGTCCTTGGCCCAGCTTATGGTACATCAGCCTACGGTGTCCCATATCTTATATTAGGTTTGGAAAGAACCTTCAGTTTCCTATTTTTCAACTTCCCTTCCAAGTTGTGACTGCTGTCCATGGAATGTCTGAAAGACAACACTTGAATACCTCCAGAAGCAGGCTGTTCATTACCATGTAAAGCAGCTGCTGCCACTGTTTGGACAGCTTTATTGTGAAAAAAAGGTTTTTTTATAATGGACAAAAAGTATGTGCCTATAGCACCTTCCCTCGCCCTGCAAAGCCTCAGCGGGCCTCTGTACCTTTGCTGTATGAACCCTCTTCAGATATCTGAAGGTGGCAGATGATTCCTGGCGTGGGGTCTGCATTCTGCTTTCAAATAGCTGTGCTGTTGGGAGAGGTGACCTTCCTCATGTGCCTCTTCTAAACTGCAATTCTGTTTTTTTGTCAGAGCAGTGTATTTGAGGTTTTTAGTTCTTTAGAGTGAGTCAATTTTTGAGAATTCATGCGGTAATAATAGTGTCTTAAGGGGGTGAGGGAGGAAAAGATATTGACCCTGACTGCCTTCTGTATGTATATGTATATGTACACATACACACATATACATACTGTCGTGCATTTACATATATTATGTATAATTAATCCTCCCTATAATCCTATGAGTTAAAACTCATTAGCTGAATTTTTTTGGTAAGAGAACTAAGACTGAGACAAGTCTAGTGATTTGACGAACCTGATACCTAGGGGAGGGACCAGGATTTGGAGCCTTTTGGTGTGACTTTAAAACCCAAGCTTGTTTTATATCAGGCTGAGGGTTGTGCATGGCTATTGCAAAATTGATTGATGAATGCAAAAGAGCTTAGTCTTTCATACATTTTGATTTTCCATTAGGTCGGCTCCCTTTCTGTCTGTGTAGTCGGAATAAAGAAATTACTTCTGTGTTCAGTATGTTTTATTTTACCTGACAGTTACTTGCTGGACAGAAGAAAAGCTCCCCCTTCTGGACATTTGAATACTATCAAACATTCTTTGATGTAGACACTTACCAGGTTTGTAAACCAGTTTCACCTTTCCTTTAAATGTAATGGAGACTTGTTTCTTTTGTGGTTAAACAATCAAATAATGTTAAAGCTTTGGTTACTGGTTATGGTCTTACAAAAGTAATGGGTTACTAGCATTTGAAAATGCTATCATCAGAAAAGCTCTGATAACTGAGTTTCAATTTTGCAGTAGTTGAATTTGTTAAACTTAAAAAGAAATCTTCAGTAGACTTACCACTATGTTGTTTTCCAGGTCTTTGACAGAATAAAAGGGTCTCTTCTGCCAATACCGGGAAAAAACTTTGTGAGGTTATATATCCGCAGCAATCCCGATCTCTATGGTATGTATAGTACCGTTTTTTTTTGTTTTTTTTTTAAAGATTTTTTATTGGGGAATTGGGGGGATGGGAACAGTGCTGGGGAATTGGGGGAAGGGGAACAGACAAGTTGCTGTCGTTTTGCTCTTCAGACGTTGCTTCACTGGCCCAAGTTGGCACCATCATTACGCTCTTCCCGGGTGAGGCAGATCAGTCGCCGGCTTCTGGACGGCCGCTCACTGTGGCTGCTGGCCGCTCATGCTGGCTGCTGGCCACACACGGTAGCCCATGGCAACCCACTGCCACAGGGGCTGCAGCCCACGCTGTCGCCAGCGACTCACAGCAGCCCAGCTCCAGGTTGAGCTGTTGTTCAGCATCTTAGCTGTGGAGGGCAGTGTCACTGGCCCTCATATGTGGGATTCGAACCGGGGTCCTCTGGCGTTCTAAGCCAGTTCTTAACTATCGCGCCACTCGGCCCGCCCTGTATAGTACCGTTTTTATTTTTTACCATATGCCAGCTGCACTCAGGTAAGTGTGAGGGTTGCCTGGAAAGTTGGAGAAGTACACTGTTGGCAGGGCATGCAGCATTTTATTTGACTCTTCTGAGCTTCAGTAGCAACCCTTGCAAAGAATTTTGGAGAAAATTCAATTATCTGCTATTTTAATGCCATAAGTACAAGTAATAGTATGTCCTTTGAAAGTCTTCAAATGACACGACAAACTTGAGACAAATTAAATGACTTTGTGTAAGAGGAGATGTTAATATTAGAGGATTTGGAGGAGGGCATGAGTGTGGAGAAGGTACTCTCACACTTTTTCATTGATGTGCTGAGTCCCAACTCTGCCCTCAGGCAGGCTGGCTCCCCTTGGGACTCAGGCAGTGGCACTGGAAGTCTGTAAGAGGGAGGGGCCAGGGGGATGATTGTCATCCCCACCCTTCCTGTTACCTGAGAAAGATCAGAGGTCCACTCAGTGCTTTGCAGGAAAGGGCTCTAATATCAGTGGGCTTCTGTGTTTGAGGGAAGAAGAGAGCCAATGGCTCTGAGTACTTTCTGTGTGTAGGTGCTCTGCAAAAGACTGTGCTACATGGTCACATTTAACACTTGCAACAGGGTAATACCTACCCCACAGGAGGAAGCTGACGCTCAGTGAGGCTTGGTAATCTACAGAGGGTGCCAAAAAAAATCTATACACATTTTAACAAAGAAAAAAAAACTGTATTAAAATTGTAATATTCAATATATACCGATAATAAAAAATGAGTACAAGTCATGTGTATGTATATTTTTTGGCACCCTCGGTGTATTCTCAGTGCTAAACAGTAAATATTCAGAGCGATTATATATATTGATTATAAGAAGAAAAGGAATTCGTCAGAATACTGTATGTCAGTCACTACATACACTGTTTAATTCTTACAACAAGACTGTGTATTAAGTGCTGTTATCCCTATTTTCCATGTGAGGAAACTAAGGCTGAGAGTTGTCAAACTAAAAAAGTAGAACCCAAACCTACTTCAGTGTTCCTTAAAGCCCATATTTATCCTATTACACTAGAGATTTTAAGCTACAGATGTCCAATGGATGGATGTCCAGTATTTAAAACCAGTAAAAGTGGAACTGTTCTGGTGGAGGTTAAGGAGATGCCCATTTATGTTCAGCTCCCTCTCTCTGTGATGGTACCAGGACTTCCATCCAGATATCTGTGGAATTCCTGGAGCTCCAGTGAGCATGGAGTGAAAACCATTGCCTAGGCCCATGTCCCTCATCTAAGGGTTGCCAAGTGGTTTCTCTTTCTAGCTCTCTCACTCATTCTTCTAGTCTCAGAACTTCTTGAGAGGCAGGCTCTAGGTCTGAGTATACATGTCATCAGTACCTAGCAGAGGACTTGGCACAGAGTAAGTGCTCAATTTTTGAGCACCTTATTTTGTGATAGAGACTGAGGATTCAAAGATAAAGTCATAGTCTCTACCCCCAAGGAGGAAGAGGCAGAACTAACATCTGGAGAGCACCCTACAAGTGCCACTGTTTCATTTCTCACACTCCAAGGTAGCCTTATCTTACAAAAGAGAAAATGGGAGGTTTGTTTTATTCTTTGTGTGCTTCTGGATGTTAGAAACATTTCATGATATAAAAATGCATAATACAAACTAAATTAAGGCTCTCTCACCACCACCCCATAATAAGAGTAGGAATTTGGCAGGAAAGAGGAAGAGAGAAGGCAGTATGAAGCAGTTGCAGGCCTGGGATGATCAGGCGGTTGTTGTGTCACTGAAGTCCAAGCTTCCTTTATGCCTGAGTGCACTAGAGGTAATGACTGTGTCTGTTGCGCATCGTTGTGTCCCCAGCGCTTACTAAGTACCGCTACTCCAGGGCCCAGAGGTAGTGGGTACTCAGTAAATAATGGCTGATAATATAATAGTCTCTGCTTTCCAGTTATGGGGACTATAATATTTTGGCCCCTTGTGGTCGTGTGCTTGGATGGTCTGTTGACAACACATGGTCAGTTTTGTTCGTTTGTTCTACAGAGCTTTTGGGGATTTTTAATTGTTGGTTGTAGGTTTTTGGAAACAGCAGTCTTTGGAACAGTCTTTGGAAAGCTGATGCCGACTGTGGAGCCTCCCAGTTGAGGGTTTGTGCTCCTTTACTTGCAGGGACTGGTGCGCCTTTGAAAGTGCTAATCCATTTCTGCTAGTCATCTCGTCCAACACAGTAATTCTCTTAGTTTTATGATATGTCAAGGTGCCTGCAGCCACAAGGTATTGCAAAATATTAATGAAATTCATAAAATTTATTAAAATCTTTCGACTTAAAATTGTATTTGTTCTAATAGTGCTTTTTCTAGATGGGAAGAAACAAGGATGGTGTTCATGAAATCAACCGAAATGATGAAAGGGATTTGCAAAGTCTGATGTACTCATCCACTCAGTGGAATGTTTTATAATCACTGAAAAAGAATTGGCTGATTTTTATGAATAGCTGTGGTAGAATCTCTAATATATATTAAGGTGAAAATGTATATATTGTCATTTGTATAAACATACACACACGGGGCTGGCCGAGTGGCTCAGTTGGTTAAGAGCTCGCTCAAGAGTTTGAGCTCTAAGCAACAGCAGTTCGAATCCAGCCCGAGTTGAGTAGCTGCTGAGCTGCCAACAGGTAGCAGGATGGGCTCAGCTAAAAAAAAAAAAAAAGAAACAAATAAACATACACACACACACATACACACAAATATGCATTTGCTTATATGTGTATCGAAATCTCTGGCAGGATTCACTAGAAAATGGTTACAATGGTGAGCTATGGGGAGGGAAAATGCCTACATAGCTAGAGAACAGAGGGAAGAAAGTTTATTTTTCTCTGTGTTCCCTTTTGTACTTTTTGAACACTGAACTATGTGCATGTGTTACTTTTTCATTAAAAAAAAGAAATAAATGGGCCGGCCGAATGGCGCAATGGTTAAGAGCTGGCTTGGGACACCAGAGGGCCCCGGTTCGGATCCCAAATATGAGGGCCAGTGACACTGCCATCTACAGCTAAGATGCTGAACAACAGCTCAACCTGGAGCTGGGCTGCCGTGAGTTGCCGGCGATGGCGTAGGCTGCAGCCACTGCTGCAGTGGGTTACCATGGGCTACCGTGTGTAGCCAGCAGCCGCAGT